AAAACAGGTTAATGATATAGTTTATGTAGCCTAATGCTACAGTTTATAGAGGCTAATGCTACATCATATGTAGGCTGATACAGTTTAAACAGGTTAATGCTATAGTTAATGTAGACTAAACACTACAGTATAAGCAGGCTAATGCTACAGTTTATGCAGGCTAACTCCAGAGTTTAGGCAGTCTAAAGGCTGGATGTAGTGTGTTCTTGCTTCTGACTAAAATATTGTTTGTGTATGAACTTGCTAAGAACATTTTCAAGGATTTTGATTGTTGCCACCGTAGCTTTTATATGTGTAATTTGCTGAAAAGCAATTTAAAAACTGTTGCTGCTAGGGGTGCACCGATAAATCGGCCGACCGATTTCCTTAATTTTGGGAAATCTGAAATCGCCCGATACCTGCACGAGAAACCGATTTTATCCTTTTTTTTTTTGTAGTTTTAACAACAGTTGTCTGAACTCCATTTATATTTCAGAGCACTACCTCATGGCCAGTTAAAACAAGTTTATATTGTTTCTAGGATTTTGTTCAAGGGTATGTTTTTCAATAAAATGAGATTGAAAAATTAAAGGTGCATTGTGACCTTATAACTCCTGACAGTGTCGCTTAAAACAAAATCGGTATTGGCCAAAATCAGAATCGACACGTCAGACTTTTCAGAAATTGGTGATCGGAAAGAAAACTGCAATCGGTGCACCCCTAGTTGCTTTCTTTAGTTCCTGTTCCTGATACAGGTGTTTATCCACTATTAACTGGAAATTATTTCCAACTTGATATCAGTTGAAAATGGCCACAGAACAATTTGATAGGTTTTCTTTCAAATCATTTTACTATTAGTTATAAATATTATTTGAATTTCAAATGAACTAAAAACAAGGTTTGCATATTGCTGCCCTCTAAGAGCAGCATCGTTTGGTTTTCATTTCCATATAAAAAAATCAAAACTTAAACTGCTAAACTGGAGCAGGTCTGTGATTCATTGATCATGTCAACGAGCTATTTTTTTTAATTTTTTTTACATTATATAAATGTCTAGGCTTATATTCTTCAGACACCCTGATATTTTGAGTAGAAATAATGTGGAATGTTGCAAGAGGGAAAAAAAAGCCCAAAGAAACTTGAATTTTACTAGAAATACAAAATGCCCATGTGTTCAGTGTTTGGGTTCTGTTGTCATATTTCCTGATCCAAACTAAATTAACTTTGACCTTTTTCCTCTCTTCCAGAACTCGATGAATCTTCCTCCAGACAAGGCACGGCTCCTGCGGCAGTATGACAACGAGAAGAAATGGGAACTGATTTGTGATCAGGTGGGTGTATGATGAGATGTAGTCGTTGCATCAAATCCTCATCACAACTTAAGACAATCTCCCTCACTGTGCTGTCTGAAGTAGCTACTGCATATGTGATGCTGGATGAAGTCTGCCCTGCTGCGTGCTGGGACCACAGATCCTATATGCTCCATTACCCTGCTTTTACCTCTGTAAACCTTTCCTCTCAACCTCACACTGCTTTGACTGCCCTGGTCAAGTGGGTTAAGTGACCCAGCAGGGTGCCAAGATCCGTTAGCCAGTTAAAATACTCGACTTGTTCTTTGCATCAGTCCTGCATGTAGGAAATAACAGAGTGCGTTTTGTGCAGCACGCTGTGGTCCGAGAGATTTTCTGCCTCTTTAAGCAGTGGGGAATAAAACAGAGACCAGATCAAAACCACCTCCCACTCAAACGGTATTGATAGTTAGTGACCCTGAAGGCATCTGTGCCAAAAAGAGCACGGGTGTTAAACTTTTCAGACTGAATGAAGTCAGCTGGTTTGTTTCCAAACCCTTAAACTATGGTGTTTTTCTTGTTGATAATCTGATGATTGTAGTGCAGGACAGTGCTCTTCTCATAAATCAACAGACACAGTCTACTTCTAAACTTGTTCTTCAAACTTTATTCCTTTCATGTGTCCACAACAAGTCTGTACCCATGACAGAGAACACAGCTTAGGGAATGAGACATTTTCTGTCAAGGTTACAATCTCTTAATGTAACCATGACAACAATGATATAGGGAAGCAGAAAAGCAAAGTTGACAGGTAGATCCTTTTTGAAAAATAGGAACAGTCCTATCATTGCATTATTCCTGCAGTTTTGAAGGTTTCTGAAATGTGACGGATGCTCCTAATTTAAATATCTGAATTACAAAGAAAAAATCATGTTAACTTCTTTTGATCTGTAAAGCATGTTTGACTTACATTTCTACACAAACGTTACGTAAAAAATATACATTTGACAAAAAAATTGTATGGTTTGCTTGATCAGACTCTGTAGATGTAAAGTGGGAAGTGTTGCTCATTTCTTAGATTTAATTTCAAATTGCCCTGCAAACAATTTGTCTTGAATCTCATTGGAATTTGCTTATATAGGCTCTTAAAAACCACAGGTGTGGTGACTTGAGCAGTTTTCGCCATTCTGGTTTGGCATTCCTTGCTTTTGCTTGCAGCAGTATCTAAAGAGTGACCCATCAACATATTTGTTATTTTTCAGACGTTCTGTCAGCTGAGAGAAACTTTCCTGGCCCCACTATAGTCTTTCCTGTTTCTGTAAAATGTTGGTGAAGATTCTCAGTCATCCAGGTCATGATCAGTTCATAAAGGGATTAAAAACAAAAACAGCTGGACTTCTATTATGAAGCTGAAGATGTTTTGCTTCCCATATGGGAGACTTTATCAATGCAAAAATGTCTAGAATGTATTGACTTCCAAGCTTTATAGAACAGCATTGGAGGCAAACTGGAACAACTCGCCCCACACAATGATGGTTCGTTGGGCTCTTTGTCTGCCTGGCTTTTGAGAGAGAGAGATGTTTTGGTCACCTGCATGAAGGTTTGAATTGGAGAGGAGCTGACCTGGAATCAGGCCTAAGCTGCACTGTAAGATTTTGAAAGTTGAAATCTGAGACCTCCTCCTCTATTTAAAGTATTTTTTATTTTTATTTTTTGCTGGGGAAGATTCTCAGTCATCTAGGACATGGTAAATCCAAAAAAAAGGTTAAAGACAAAAACAACTGGACTTCTATTCAGTAGTTGAAGACGTTTTGCTTCTCATCCGAGGAGCTTTCACATTTCTAAGAACTGGGAGTGTGAGTTCGAGTTATAAAGCAGAGGTGTTCTGTAAGCTAGATTCACAGGCAGCTGGCCCTCTCATTCCTCACAATAGAGGTTCATTAGGGTCTCTGACTCACAGATGGGCCACCCTGGACACAAGAATTAAGTTCTTGATTGGAGTGAAACTGACTGTGTATCAGGCCTAAAGCTGCATTATAGGTTTTGGAAAGTTGAAATCTGAGACCACCTCCTCTGTTTAAAGTTGGTTTCTCTCTTTTTACATAGATGGCTTCCTTCACCCCCCTCTCAAACCTGATGTAAAAAATTTGGTCCTTAAAAGAGTGTCCCTTATGCTGGAGGTGTAGGTGAACTGCTGAGTCTTGTCCTGAAGAGCTGGCTCTCCTGTGTTGAGCCATGTGTCTGTGAAGAAGCTGTTGGACAACAAGAAGAGAGGATGCTAGGCCTGTTACAATAAACAATAAATCCATTAATCAATTAATCACATGATGAATGAAAATTATCAACCTCATTTTTATTTACCGGCTTTATCATTTCTTTGTGTGTCTCTCTTTCTACTGAAGACACAGCTCAACTCCGGTGCTCTTCACTGATCCCTCACTTTTTCTTTTCTTTTTAAAACCAGTTTTAACGATCCAAAATCGCGTGTTTGGATTGTTAAAAGCAGCTAAGCTGAGAAGCTAAGCTACGAGCTAAGCTAACAGGCCGACCTCGGGAATAAACCTCTGTCTTGTTGATCTCCAAAATTCACAGCTGAAACCCGTGCCTTCTTGTAGAAAATATGTTTTTCACTGCAAAAAGAAGCTGAGGATGTTTACTGTTTTTTTTTAATTAAAAGCTTTGAGTGAAAATGCTATGCTAAAGAGCTCAAATCACCAAGCGTCTGCCATGTCGCCATGTCACATCAAGGGCCCTCCCTCCCATTTTTCTTAAAGAGGCAGCTGCTCAACTATCCATCCTTTGGTTCAAACAGTCTTGTACTGGTATCAGGTGGCCAAAAAATATATTACACTCCAAACAAATCAACATTTCTTCTAAAATTTGACAATGAATTATTGTTAAATTTCAAACAATATTATTGTTTATCGCAATAATTTCTGAGACAATTAGTCGCCCAGCTAAATTTGTTGTCGTAACAGGCCTAGAGGATGCCAACGACAATAAGCTGCCTTTTCTGGACTGTTTGGTGAACATAGAAAGTGATGGAAGCCTCAACATTGAAGTTTACAGGAAACCTACTCACACAGATCAGAACTCTCACCACCCACTGGAACACAAACTTTCTGACTTTACACCACCTAGTCGAACATGTCCCCCACAAGAAGGGAAGGAAAAAGAACAGCAACACATGAAAGAAGCTCTCCAAACCTGTGGATATCCTAACTGGGCTTTTGTCAAATCAGCAAACAAATCCAAAAAAAAAACATGCTGCAAACAGAACAGAGAGAAGAGACAACACAAAAACATTATCATCCCATAAGTTGCTGGAGGATCTGAAAAACTCAGAAGGATTCTCTCCAAACATAACATCCTGGTACGTTTTAAACACAACAAGACCCTCAGACAGATGCTGGGCCATCCCAAGGATGGAACCCCCAAACCCAAACTGTGTGGTGTCTGCAGGTCAGCCAGTGAGGAATGTTCAGACCTCTATATTGGAGAAACTAAACAACCTCTTCACGGACGCATGGCTCAACACAGGAGAGCAGCTCTTCAGGACCAGACTCAGCAGTCCACCTACACCTCAAGGACAAGAGACACTCTTTTGAGGACCAAAATGTTCCCATTATAGACAGAGAAGACTGATGGTTGAGTGGGGTGAGTGAAGGAGGCCATTTACATCAAACGAGAAAAAACAATTTAGGTCTCAGATTTCAACTTTCAAAAACTTACAATGGAGTATTCGGCCTGATTCCAGGTCAGCTCCACTCCAGTTCACACCTTCATGCAGGTGACCAAAACATTGTCTCTGTTATGAGCCACGCAGACAAAGAGCCTAACGAGCTCCCATTGTGCGAGGCGAGTTGTTCCAGTCTAACCTGCAGGTGAATCTAGGGGACATAACGAGACCATTCATGCAGTTCTACAAAGCTTGGAAGTCCACACACTCCAGACATTTTTAAATTGATAAAGCCTCCTGGATGGGAAGAGAAACGTCTTCAGCTACAGAATAAAAGTCCAGTTGTTTTGAAAATTTTTAACCCCTTCTCAGACCTTTTCTCCAAAAAAGACAACAAATAATGGTGATAAAATATGATAATTCTGATCTCATCTGAGTATCTGTGTATATAGGGTGAACACATTTTCTAAGATGTGATACAAAAGCCACCATTATGATGATGATAATTGAATCTTGTTTGAATGAAAGCGCGTTTTAGCACTTTCTGAACGTCTGCGACTCTTGTTAAGAATGTAGGCTTGACTTCAACTAAGCCTTAAAATGAGGAAAAAATGCAACATATCCTTGAGATCAATGCCTTAGCTGCAACTTAGAAAACTTTCAGGAGCTCTGTTTTGCTGTGAAGCAGCAACACGAGGTTCAGCGTGAGTTTTCCTCTTCAGACCATGTGAACAAAATCAATAAACAGAATAGAACATTTAAAATAAATTAAATTACAAGATGTTGATTGCACAATGATGTCATTCAGATCCTCACTATTGCATAGATGATTTGATTTATATCAGTCTTAGCAACAGTCACTGACATTAAAAATGTGATTTTTATTTTTGGTAAATAACAACAGTGAAGGGGGTCTTGGTGTCAAACTATGTGGCTCATCATCTGTAAATGGCCACAGGAACTGTTTATAAAATCACAAGAAACCACAACACTGACGTACATTCGTAAGTTGAGGCTGGAGGCTCACAAAAACCTTAGAAAATATATTTAAATGTCATGTTTTCTAATAAATTAATTTGGGATACATATGCTGTCTTTCCTTGGTGAGGATATTAATGTTGCTAGTTCCATGCTGAAGAACATGGACGTGATACCTCCATGTGTTTTGGAATGGCTTACTCAAATTAGTCAGATTCTCCTAACAAATTCTGATTTGTAATCGTAATTTGAAGCAAATAAGCTCTGATTCTTCAGGGTGGGTAGGCCTCAAAATACATCTTGAGTCACATCTTTATTGGCAAAGTTGATGCTTCTATTTTAAAATCTTTCTGTGTGGATTCACAGTTGAGTTGATTAGTGCATGTGTGACTTCCTAATGTACTTATTGGATTTACGAGCACATGCTTTAAAAAAAGGAACAAATCAAATAACTAATGAAGCCAGATATTTTTATAGGTTTGAAATCTGGTCAGACCTTTGCACCTACTTAACTTAAAAAATATAAAATTGAGAAAAGTCAGCGCTTTAATAAAAAAAAAAAAAAAAGTGTGGTAATCTTTCACATGCTTATGATGATTGTCTGTGTTTGCTACAGTAATTATTTAGTCTACCTTTAGAATATCTCTTCATATTTTCACGCTCCAGTAGAAGTTTCATCCTGCATGCACTGACTTGGTGTGTTTTCCTGAATTAAACCATTCATGATGCCTTGAGCTTAATGCAAGTACCATTTCCCGCTCAACACACTGATCCAAATCCTGGGACTAATCTCTGGTTTATATTTAGAGCACAATAGTGTGACTTGAACCTGTTGTTGGCTGAGGCTAGAACAAGTGCATGCACATCCACACAGTGCTTTGATATTAAATTACAGCTTAAATCACAAGTGAAATCATGGGATCGCCTGACATTTGTTTTGTTTCTGTGGAATCTAAGCTGTAGTTCATCGAATAAATCCCAGTAAAACTTCTTATTTCATTCAGGTAGCTGTTTTCCACCAGAGACAAAAGAGTAAACACAATATAAAACACTTGGCATCATGTAGAGTTTGTGGTATCCAAAGCAAGCTCTGATTTTAGGACTTGTTGGATGTTTTACCTTTTTTAACGGTGGAAGATGCGGTAATCTGAAGTTCCCATTAGATGGATTACAGAAAGCCTAATCAGATTCCACTTGATGACAGAAGTTGTTTAAGTTTGCTGGGAAATAAGTGAGAATGTGGCCTTTTTTATAAACCTTTACCTTCTGTGAATCAAATACACACACACACACAAAAAAAAAACAGTGAAATTGTCCATAATTTTCTGATTTTTATTATGAGTGTACTCTGTGTACTTTTCACTACAAATGTTTTTTGAAGTGTTACAGTCTTTCCTCATTACTCCCTTCCCATCTTCTCATTTTATGTTTTCTTTCTTTATTACCAGGAGCGATTTCAAGTGAAAAACCCACCTCACACGTACCTTCAAAAGCTGAGGAGTTATCTAGACCCGGCAGTCACGAGAAAGGTGAGCGCCCTGTCCGACAGGCTGCCCATCTCCAGTGGCCTAGCTGCTCCAGTGCGACAGCTTTTCCTTCCCCGCTGACCTTCTATCTGATGTTCAGGATATCCCAACAACAGCTGTGGAAAGACTGCACACAGGAGTTCCCTGGGATATAGATCAGGAACTCGAGTTAGAGAACAGTGAGAAAGGAGACAGTTGTTTATCAGGAACGCCCTAGCTGAAGAAAGCTCTGACCGATCTTTAGCAGTGCAGAAAAAGAACAACAAAATAAAAGAGGGTAAAAGGTAGAGGGTGTCGTTGGCATTTTCTCGCAGCACAGCAGGAAATATCAGGAAACTATCTCAAGTGATTTAAGCTATATCATAAAAATGTCTATATCATCTCAGCTGCTAGCTCTGGCTGTTTTTCTTGGCTCTTGTCGGGCTCCATGAAGACAAGTATTTGTTAACTCTCAGGCTTTGCCCAAAAAATATGAAGTCTTTCTAGTCTGGATGTGCGAGTGGGGGGACGCTGTGAGATGTGTCTCTGCAACGAGCAAATTAATCAACAGGCTTTGGCAGAAGAAGAACAAATCACTGAATAATTCAATCTGCACTGAGTGTGGTAAAAATAAAAAAGTTAAACCGCGATGAAACAGCTGGAGCAGCTTGAACAAATTGAAGCTATGATGTGACTGTGGTAAAAAGAGAAAACCATCTTTTTACGATGCAAAGAATGTGCAACAAGATGTGTGTTGTCTGATCTCACTTACTGAGGTCTTCCCTCTATCATGGGAAAACTGCCATTTAAGAATAATTTTTGGATTAAAAAAAATCCCAGTTTGCTCAATTTATAACTCGTTGCTTAATTCACAACTACATATTGCTTCCAAGAAAACACCTGGAGAGCAAACATTTAGATTTAACCGTCAGTAAGTTGTGAAGTTGAAACAGGAACTAGATTTGTGGCTGCATGCAGCAGATGTACTGTAAATTTGTCATAGATGATTAAACTTTAAAAACTCCCAGGAAACTTGTTCTGAACATGGCAGGTGGTGTCAATGAGAAGCTTACCTGTGTCAGAGGCTGCCTTATCATGGTGGCGTTGATGCCAGAGAGATTACACAGTTATGAGATCTGATTAAGATCGGAAACGAGGAGAATGACTCAACTTGAAGCAGATTTAATAGACACAACAATGTAGTTAAATTGTGCAAGGACAAGTAAAAAAATAAGCCTTTTTACATTGAGCAAGAATCACATAATCACTAAAGCCCTGTTCACACTGGATAACCTCACTAGGACATAAAAAATCACCTAGAACACGACAGGGCTTGGTGGGGCTTTTAGGTTCTAATAGACATGTAATGGAGCGTGATGGGTCCACGAGGGTTTTGAAGCTACACAAAATGTGTTTTATCATCATGGTGGCCATGTATGGATGTGGGTGGGCAGCTTGGTTTGATAATTAAGATTAATGGATGGTAAACTTATAGAGCAGGGGATGGCGACAGTGTTAAAAGCTCTTGGTGTGACATTCAGCATCATGGTTGGAGCTCATCCAGATGATGTGTTTTCAGCAAAGCTGGATCATCCTCCTCTTCACCCCCTTTTTTTCCCCAATTAAACTTAATTACATTTAATTTATAAATGTTTGTTCTATATTAAACTGCTAGAGGAGGCTGCCCCTGAGAAACATGTTCAGACCTCTCTTCAGTTATTTTGTGTTTCTAAGTTTCATTGGTCTCATGTTTTGGACATGAAACCTGCACCTTTTCTTAGCCTCGGCTGAAAGCTTGAAGTGGCACACAGAGGTGGAACGGAAGCCTAAAGAGAGGAGGGCAATGACGAGGAAGAGAAAGAGAGATGCTGAATTATAAAGACTTGGTCGAGAGGGGAGAAGGATGGACAGAATGATGGAGAGACAAAAAAAGAAGCAACAGAGGAAAAGAAAGAGTTATGGGCTTCTTTCTACATTCCTGCTCCATCCCCCTTTTCTTCAAACTCAAACAATTGCCACTTTGTGCCACTGTGAGAGAGCTGGAGGTCATTGCCTCTGCTTTCCATAGGCAGGCTCCCGTGCATTCCTCGGGGCAGCTCCCAGCCAATAGGCAGCCAAGGAGGAAGAGCTCCAGTCAAACCAGTCTCCAAGAATGTATCAGGCGTTGATTTGTTTCCAGGATGACCCCTCCTGTGCTCACACCTCCCCAAAATGTTACTCTCCCCACCCCTTTTACATTCTGTCTCCCCTTCCCTGGTTTCCTCCTCGTCTTTACTCCTATCCCCTCTTGTCGTCTTCACACTCTCTCCCCGCCGTCTCTTCCTGCTCTCACTGTGATGCAGCTGGTAGCACTTAAAGTGTGGGGTGTTTTGGTGGGGGCTCTGGGAGCCTGCGCAGTACCCCGAAATATGCTCCCCTTTCCACACATGCACACAAACCACTCCTCCCTAATAAAAACACACTGTTTTTCGTCTCCTTATGCTCCAAACGCACACCGCCCAAGCCCAAAGACGTAGACTCAAGAGAACAAGTTATGGGAACAGCTCTCTTCTCGGTGGATGTTAATAATACGTTAGCACAGGGTTCAGCTGTGCTGCCTCACTGATACAAACATGATGGAAAATAACCATAAAGACAGTTTCTACTAAACAATTACACATTTTCTTGCAATTTTTACAATTTTTCCCCAACCACCAGTCTCCCTACAATTATTGCTCAGTGACAAACCACCTTAACATGATATGTTCCCCTTTCTTTAGCTGGATTAAAAAAATAAAAAATAAAAATAAAAAATACATGAGAAATAGTATTTCAGCTTTAACAAGGGGCTTCTCAAAGAGCTATTAGCTGGAAAGGGTTTGCGTACAGTAGATGATCATCTGAAGGAAAATACATGTCTTAAATCCCAGAGGACTTTTCACCAAGACCAGTTGGAAAACATACAAGAAAGTCTGGCTCCTTGTAAGAAGAAATTAAAAGGGATGGTTTAAACCATTTCCACAATACTGTATCAAAACCCCTTTTTTAAATTCATTTGGCACAACCTGCGTCCAACCATGTGTTAAAGTAAAGTTTTGCAGTGACCACTTCTATTAAAAAGACAAGAATTTCATTTTAAGCCACAGCTTTCTGCTCTGTAAGAGTTTCACCCCCTCTCATCACCGCCTTCCCCCTCCTTGTTGCACCGTGACTGTTTGATCACCACTGGTCATTCACTCGGCTCGTTTTGTTTTTGTGGTTGCATAACAGCATGAACGGCCTCTTGTTTATGGGTGCATTCACACCAGCCCTGTTTAGTCCGCTATAATCCAACTCTAGTCCGTTTGCCTAGAAAGTCCAGTGCGTTTGGGGAGGTGTGTGTTGTTCCCCGATTTGTTACGGAAGCTGATCCGTAGTGTTGCTCATTTGCACATGCACTAAAAAGGAATACTTCTTGGTCGCACGGATCACCATTGAATATGCTAGATTAAGGAAAATGTACTGGTATAATTCCGATTATGAATAAGAACTGTCTTAATTTACTTAAAGTATGTGCTCTATCTCCCCCGATTTTCTTGTTGCTAATTTCCGCCACTCATAATTCCGTTAAAATCATTGACATATTTACGTCACGGTTAAAATGATATGCAGCTTCACCACTGAGCGGCGCTGTTTCACCAATTAATTCTGTTTCTTGCAGGGTTTTTCTCATTCAGTAACAGAAATATGAGTGGCGTAAATTAGCAAAATGAAGATCGGCAGAGATAGAGCACGTACTTTTCTAAGTAAATTAAGACAATTCTTATTCATAAACAACGGTGATCCATGTGACCCGGAAGTACACTACAGATCATGCTTCCGTAACTGATCAGGGAATGACACTGTGAATGTGCAATCGGACTCTGATACGGACCAAAAAAGTGCTTCAATACCTAGGGCTTGGTTGAAGTGAACTCTGGCGCCGTTCAAATGCAGTGTGAATGCAAGCAGACCGGCGACCGCTCCAAAAGCAGGAAGTGGTCTACAGCGCAGGGCAAACAAACGCGCATTTCTCATACGGAGCCGTCAGCCGCCTTGTGTGGAAAAAACATTCTCCATGATCTTCTGCCTCTTCTTCTGCTCATGCCGAGTCCATTGTTGAAAAATGACAAAACAGAAATCGTAAAGCCGCTAAAATTTGACACCACTTTGTTTTTGGTTTGATTTCCAGAAGAAGAAGAAGAAGTGTCTTCTTGAGAGGTTTTTGTGTCATTTCCTTCAGTAGTTCTTGGTGCAGCGCCACCACCGGCGAGGGGGGGGAACAGGTTGGCTCGATTGACTCAGTGCAGTGTGAATGCAAACCGCACCAGCTGAAATGTAAACAAATGTTCTGAATATTGGTCCCAAATTGAACCGAGTCTACTGGACTATCAGGTGTGAAAGCAACCAATGATACTACAGATAACTCGGAGTCAGGATGAACTCAAAGAGGAGCCCTCTTTCACGTTCCATCAGGTTTTTTTGGCCTCGTTCGATAGCTCACACCTTTCTACAGTTCACATGGACTTTTTTCCTTAAAGCTGCTGCCACAGTAACATGCCAGGAATCCAAGTGTATGTTTACATGGCTGTTAGATTAAAAAGGTGCTGCTCTTGTAGTAGAACCAGCTGTAGTCTCAAAATTTAATAGTTACACGAGTAGCAAAATGTAGGAAGAAAGAAGAAAAGAACTGCTCTCCTTTTAAAGTTTCCAAAGAGTCAGCTTGTTGTCTGTAATAGCCTTGTTAATTTTTCCTTTTACAGGAACCTTTAAAAAGTCCAATTTTAAACTCCTTTATATTGTTTGTGCATGAAACACAGTCTGAGGACAGTCTGGCCATTCTGTCCAAATAAAGTTCCAGTTTTTGCAAAACATCTCTAATCTCTGCACTACCACATGTGGATTTATAGGAGTATGATGAAATTTAACCTCTCCCGCTTTTATTTTCCTTCCTCAGAAATTCAGACGGAGGGTACAGGAGTCCACCCAAGTTTTGAGAGAGCTGGAAATTTCTTTACGGACCAATTACATAGGGTGAGTCAACTGTAGGACTGTGTGACGCTAATGTAGTGTTTTTTTATCCTGCGCCTGGTTATATTAGATTCAAGTGGAAAAAGTCTCACATTCCAGACACCCGGAGACGCAGACACTAAAAACCCCGCCATCCCCCACTCATATCTGCGCTCTGACCTAATATTACACCGAAAGCCATGTGGCGATGAAGAAAAGATGAATCGATGGATTGTTTTGGAGCAGCTGACACTAGAACAGCCTCCAGAAGGAAAGCACATTTTTCTGTCTGTAGTTTGGCTGCTCAGCCTCAGTGTTTTAGTCTGCAGTGCTGATGAAATATTAAAGGGAACTGTTTCACAACAGAAGAAACACGGTGCGTTCGTCAGCCGCGTCAGGTATTCAAAGGTAACAAGCCTAAACGTGTGGCAGCTGATACTGATTCAGAGCTGTGCAGTCAGCCTCGAGGAAAGATCAATATCTCATAAAAAACTGTACAAATTCTCAAGCTTTGGATGGTTCGTCTGGTTTGTGATGGGCTGTGTGGCACTCAATAACGAGACTTATACCTGGTGGTATTTGTAGGAGTTTTAAACCCTTTATTATTTATTTATTTATCATTATTTGACAGAATCTACTTAACTTTGTCAGAAGGCTTAATCTATGATCTTAGGAAACCACTGTGAGCAGCAAGAAACTGAGCAAAACTAAACAAAAAACAAACTGAAAGGTAAGGGGCAGCTTCTTTATTTATTTATTTTATTTTATTTAATTTCCCTCTGGGATTAATAAAGTATTTTTGAATTGAATTGAATTCTTAAACAGATTAATAATATTTTTGTTTTATTTTAGATGCAACAGACCAGTTTGAACTTGTGTTGCATCCTTCCCTGTGTTGGAATCATTTTAACAAAACAAGTTATGCTTTTTACATTTAAGAAAAAGCTCAAGTTTAACTCCTAAAGAGGGGCGTGTGGATTAGTGTGTAGGTGTGTTTTGATGAGTACATACCATCTTGATGAGTTTAAACCAGGACACTGCACTCTAGTTCAGTTTAGTGCTGTATTAGCATTTAAAATATTTAATTGAGGTACTTTTAGGGCTGCACAATATCCATCCATCCATTTTCTTTACCCGTTTATTCCATTTTGGGTCACGGGGGTCGCTGGTGCCCATGTCCAGCAATCACTGTGCGAGGGGCGGGGTACACCCTGGACAGGTCGCAAGTCCATCACAGGGCCACATAGACACAAACGAGACAAACAACCATTCACTCTCCCACTCACACCTAGGGACAATTTAGAGTTACCAATCAGCCTAACATGCATGTTTTTGGACTGTGGGAGGAAACCGGAGTACCCGGAGAAAACCCACGCATGCACGGAGAGAACATGCAAACTCCACCCAGAAAGGCCCCTGGACCGGGGTTTGAACCAAGGACCTGCTCGCTGAGAGGCAGCAGCTCTACCAGTTGCGCCACCGTGCTGCCGGCTGCACAATATGTGAAAAGATTATCAGCACCGCAATCTCAGTGTGCTCAGTTTTTGCGATCGCGATCTACCTGTCGATCGTAAATGTAGTATGGGTAGATCACATGGTATTAAGAAAAATAGTCGTCCATCCTCACTATGAAATTTGTCACTTGATTGACGTACAGAGCAGCCAGTCTGAGGCCCAGTTTACCCAATGTGAAGCTGCACTTCAGCCGTTCATTCACACGACAGCAGCTCTCCTTCTCTCTGAAACTGAAGGTTTCTGAATCCAGGTCTCAGAGTGGAGATTTTTTGGGGAATCCCCTACGGGGGTGTGAAATACTCCATAAGTGTGAAGTCGCACATGCGCACTACAGGCGTCTGCAGTCCAAAGTTTTTCTGTACTAACAAGAGTTGTAATAAATGACAGAGAGCAGAGTGTTTTTTGTGCTACTCACCCTTGTTCAGCATGTAGAAGCAAAACTGATCAAATCCAGGGTCCAAAGGGACGTCAGTGTATTCATCAGTTTGGACAACTGTGATCATGCAGATGCTGCATGCACAATGAATGCAGCTGAGGCCTGTCAGGGTTGCCAGATAAACTTAAAATATCTTATTTATCCCCTCCTTTTCTGTGCACATGTTTAACAAACGCAACACACACCTCATCTTAGAATATATTTACTCCGCACATATGACAGTTTAGGTCAAAATACTATCATTTTAAAGCCACAGTACTATAGTTCATAATTTCTTATCTGGCAACCCGATTGACATGGAAACTACAGCGTTTTTGTGTAAACCTGCTCATTTTAAACATTGAAAAAACACTAACGTTTCCAGAGGTCGTTGTGTAAACGGGGCTTTATAGTAGGTAGATCACTTTGACTTTGTCATTTTAAAAGTAGCTCGCATGCTGAAAAAGTGTGGGCATCCCTGCTTTAGATGGAGCAGCAAGCTTTTGTGTGTTTGTGTCTCTGAAGAATAAAGTAACCCTGTCAGTGTGAAAGTTTACCTCCAACAGAAATATGTGTCGGCATGTGCAGACGTTCAGCAGTGCTGCAGACATGTTTGCAGTTTTCTTTTGTCCTGATTGGTGGTTTGTAGTGTTGAGATCAACTTCAGCCCACTTGGAACATCAACGGGGTTGCTTTTAAAAAAGGTGCCAAGTTAAGTCCAGTTGAGCCAAAGTATGTGGCCGAATTGAAGCTATGTAGAAACAATTTATTTTGTGAGATGTAATCAACAAACTAAACAGGATGGGGTCACTGCGTGGGTAGGTGGTCACAGGAGACTATGATCCTGCCAAAGACCAGAGGACTTGACCAAGAGATGGCCAAGGATTGTTGCGACACAAAACAATGCTTTACAACCTCAACTGCCTCCTATTCCTTCTGTTTATCTTTTCCTTCCTCCCACAGGCACATTACTTTACTTCAATTTGTCTTTTTACCCACACTCACACAAATTATCTCATGTGTCTGACAACACCGTCTCTCACACTCCTACAGTGTTTACTGCTGATCGGATTCTGCACTTTAAACCAAAACATACTCCAGCCCGAGACGATGAAGCTGCTGAATCACTGTTTACGAGGATTAACTCAGTTTAGGGATGTCATCTAGATTACATGAACAGTCCCGTCGATCTAGATTAGATTGTTAGCAAAATGACAGAGGGACATCGAGAGGGTGGGGGCTGCTGATAGCATGGAAACACAATGTCCCCCAGTCAGACAGTGAATAATTGCTGCTTCTTTTCAGAGGTGAAACAGAGAATTTTATCAATCATAGTGGGTATAATAGGGAGATTGTCCCTAACCCTGACTCCACGCCTGTCTGCTTGTGTCTGACGTGCTTCACCACAGTCACCAACATGTGGTGAATGGGTAGATTGTTGGTGTCCTGTGGTAATAATCACCATACAGACAATGAAGCTACACCTCCATTCTCCTTTTAAAACTCCCTCCCCACCAGGCACGGCGTTGATGCACGCTCCTGTAAACCTCGTTAGTCCCGTGCAGTTACATCACAGGGTAGGCAACGATGGACTTTTAAGACATATGTTTGACTGCAGTGTCACTGAAAAGCATTTCTAGGGACAATGATAAAAAAGAAATGACACTTTCACACGATGAGATACATTTTAGTGGAGTTCTGTGGGGTTCTAGTAATGATGGTTGGATAAAAAAGGAGGGCAGATCGTACTGAAGGAAACAGGACCTTTTCAGGGAAGAGCTGAGCTTCTCTGTCCTGCACAAGAAAGTAAAAGCACGTGAAGGGCTCAATGGATGGTCCACTTGAGTCTTCAAAAGAAAGTAAAAAAAAGAACATTTTTGTCATTCTTGGAAAATTGGAAAGTACCCTGCGTGTGTGTGTGTGCGTGTGTTTGTGTAAAAAGAGAAGGAAAAAAAAGGCAGACTCATTATTGAGCTATTTAAGCACATGCTGATGACTCTGCTTTTGTAAATCCTTGCATGCGTTTGATGCTTCGAGTCAGGAGTCTCTCAAAGACACCGATGCATACTTTTTTGTAATGATTTATCTGGGAAGGACTTTAAAGAAATAGTTCAGATCTTTTAAAGTGGGTTTCTGTGTAAAGATTTAAAACAACTGGGATCTTACCTGCTCTAGATCGCTCTTTGAATTACCTCAGTTTTGAGAAATTATTTAATTCTACCCGGATTAATGTGCTTTCAGCTAGTCCTAGTGACGTCAAGACTAAAGTGATCAAAGTGAATTGCTACCATCTTTAAACAACACTCATATACTGTATTTCACAGCTGTGTTTGTGTATATTATTATAAAAATCTTTTCACGGTCATTTGTTTTGCACTGCGCCGTTTTTTTTTTTTTTTGTTGAAAATATATTGATACTCCTGTTGGAAGGGCCCTGGAAGTGCTTCTTGTAGCTGCTGCCACTATAAATTTTTGTAAATGACCATTGTGTGCAGTGTAATTTCTAGTTAATGAGAATTTGACAACAAGATAAGAGTTGACTTAAAAACATTTACCGTATTTTCCGCCTTACACGTCGCACCGCCCTATAAATCGCATCAGTCCAAATATGTCTAATAAAGTGGAAAAATCCATAAATACATCGCTTTGCCGGGCAGCACGGTGGCGCAACTGGTAGAGCTGCTGCCTCTCAGCGAGCAGGTCCCTGGTTCAAACCCCGGTCCAGGGGCCTTTCTGGGTGGAGTTTGCATGTTCTCTCCGTGCATGCGTGGGTTTTCTCCGGGTACTCTGGTTTCCTCCCACAGTCCAAAAACATGCATGTTAGGCTGATTGGTAACTCTAAATTGTCCCTAGGTGTGAGTGAGAGAGTGAATGGTTGTTTGTCTCGTTTGTCTCTATGTGGCCCTGTGATGGACTTGCGACCCGTCCAGGGTGTACCCCGCCCCTCGCACAGTGATTGCTGGACATGGGCACCAACGACCCCCGTGACCCAAAATGGAATAAGCGGGTAAAGATAATGGATGGATGGATGGACATCGCTTTGCCGTATACATCGCATCTATTATGCGTTACCGCTAATGCGTCATGTTTGTTACGCGTCACCACTGACAACCCGGAAATGTGGGCCGAACCCAGAAATGTGGGCCGATGTTGTGCCAAAAATCGATTGGCTGCCAAATGTCAGCTGTGGGAGCATGCACGGGAGGACTTTAACAAGAATTTAACAAGATTAACACTTAAAAACAATTATTTGTTTGCTCAAAACTATAGCAAAGGTGTGTCTCAGACAGTCTAACTTTTCCTTAAGAAATGCACTTTGACAGTCAAATCAGCTGCATTTCAAAAGCTGATGCGCAAAAGCAGGCACGTGCATGAGAGGACTTGCTATGCATTTCTTTGAAATTTAACAAGATAAGCACCTAAAACAATTATTTGTTTGCTCAACATTATAGCAAAGGTGTGTCTGTTAAACTTTTACTTAATAAATGCACTTCAATGGTCAAACTAGCTGCATTTCTCTGGGGTGGCGCAGCAAAATGAAGCTGATATGACGGTTGCTCCAGGCGAGCTGGAGGAATGTGGTGGCTGTGGCAAGCTGATTGTGTCATTAATAGCCACTTTTCTTATTACATGACACAAAGGCATGCCATACTACTGAAGTGCCATCTAGCGGCTGACAATGGTAGTGTTCAATATTTTCAGTCTGAATGAATGAAAATGGTCAAATCTCAGCCAAGAATTGGTTTATAAATATGGGGAAAAAACATAAATAAGTTGCTTTGGTGTATAAGTCGCAGGGCATGCAAATTATGCAAAAAAATGTAACTCTTAGGGCAAAAAATATGATACATGAACTCCACTGAAAGTCTAGAGAGTGGAGCTGTTTTACAGCTTCAGAAATCCACTTCAGTCTCGCTCGTCTCTTCAATCCAATCAGATTTAAACTTATTTTCTTCAAACTGAGGTTGTTCAAAGATTTATCTAGAACAGGTAAGATAATAATTATTCATAACATTTATACAGAACCACTTTAAGAGATCTGAACTATTGCTTTAATGTCAAATATGAGCAAGTCTCACAAAATCAAGACGTATATTACAATTAAAAATAAGTAGTTACACATTATGCATTATATAAACAAACATCTTAGATAAATTATAGCAGCTTACCTCTATTTTAAGTTTATCCCAGAAAATATGCTTTATAACTCTGTTATTAAAGAAGGATTTATATTTTATCTGTATCTGATATTCACCAATATGTTTCGAGTTTATTTGCTAACAGATTTTTTTTTATCCTTTCCTTGTTTTCAGGTGGGTGAGGGAGTTTTTAAATGAAGAGAATAAAGGTCTGGATGTGCTGGTGGAGTACCTTTCTTTTGCACAGTACGCCGTCACGTAAGTCACTACATTTATGTCATTCCTCTTTACACACAGAGCTGCTAACCAAAACAACGGCACTATTCTGCACAGCGGCTGACGCATCTCCCCACAGCGCCAGCACCACCGTCGCTGCTGCCCGGCCGTCAGAAACATTGAGTCACTTGTGGTCCATTGCGGACAGATTGTGAATTATAGCAGCCGTATGCTCCTATTCATGAACAGACTGTGTGATTATTAGTCATTCTAACGCCAGGGTCTAAAGCGTCTCGGGGTACAAAATTTAATTCACCCTTCTACATCAACGTATGTTATTACAGTCTGTCCACATTATGGATGGTCAGTTATAAAGTAGTGTTTATGCAGTACTGCTGCAGCACATAAAAGTCAAGAAAAGGGCTCATTTAAAAGCTGAACGGCCAAGTACAACAAAACATTAGCTTTATTTCCTGTTCTCTGCGTTCTAATGGACATAGCCACTGTGGCGTCACCTCTTAGGTTACAGAATGGCACAATAAATCCTCAAGTTTGACATTTAATCTTTGACATGCTGTGTTTGTGTAACCAGAGGTGAGTGTATTTGACTGCTGATGGGGTATTCTTCCTTTTAAAGGAACATATTGTTAAATGGAACAACTTCTCTGTGCTCAAAAGCTTATATTTTGGTCAGGACTGCCAGAATTGTGGAAACAAAAATAAGTACCGTATTTTTCAGACTATAAGGCGCACTTAAAATCTTTTAAATTTTCTCAAAAATCAACAGTGAGCCTTATAATCCGGTGCGCCTTATGTATTAATTGTTGTTGTGCTTACTGACCTCGAACCGATTTTATGTGGTACACGGCGCTCAAAAATCTGTCAAAATGAACTTGTTTCGCTTAATGCGCCTTATAATCCAAAAAATACAGTCACACATTTCTTACTTTGTTGTAAATTGCCACATTTCTTTTACTAAGAAATCTGCAAGGCCAAGACTGAGAGAAGAAATATGAATGTAGAATCTAAAATAATGACATTTGATTTTTTTGAGTAACAAAAATTATTGAGCACTAAAGTCTATTATTAAGGTAAATACAACCATTTTGTAAATACTTTTCTGTTTTGGGTAATCCCAAATTTAACTAACTCAGGGAAAATGTTATAGTTTGCATGTGTGTCTTGGAGGTGAAAGGTCAGAAGTCATTTTTGCTGTTGCTTTGCCAATAAATCTATTACGGTAGTTTTATTTTCCACTCAGTTGCTGAAAGTAATGAACAAATGATAGAAAGTGCAATCATTGGTCTTTCCTGAAAGACTTCCAAACTGTAAGGCTATATGTCAAGAGTAAGGGTTCATGACTTATTTTGTTTCCTTGGTGCTGCAGGTATGATGGTGATTGTGTGGAGAACAGCACCGAGGGTGCGATGGATAAGTCTAAGTCCTGGAATCGCTCTATAGAAGACCTGCACAAAGGAGGCACCCTGCCGTCTAACATCACAGGAAACGGCATCACTCGAGCTGGGCGACATTCCACGATACGGTAAAGTCGCGCACTAACGTCCTCGCTCTCATCTGGTGAAACGGTTAACTATTAAATCTGTTTCTTTCTTTTGTTTGCAGCTTTTATTCAATAACCTTCATCTTTCTTCTCTCTGTGTGTCTCTGAAGCTGTGTGACTATTTTGAGAAGTCACACGTTTCATATGACGCCTCAGCTGCCTCTTTGTGCAGTCATGAGATCTGTAAGACTTTAAATGGCTTAAGACACGTTCAGTGGAAAACCTTTGTGTGTGGATCTTATTTGAGTTGGTCAAAAGCTCATGATCGTGACACACTTGTATAAATAGTTCATTTTTATTAACGTTTTAACTCAGAATTTCTGGACAAGTCTAATCACATGTACAGTAGTCCCTCGCTACTTTGTGGTTCGTTTTTCGTGGACTCGCTCTATCGCGGTTTTTCAAAATAAGATTGGACATGTCACACAATTGGCTGATTGATAGATGATCCGCACTATCGGCATGGAATTTTTATTTAAAATTAATTATTTTAGGCAATACGGTGGCGCAACTGGTAGGGCTGCTGCCTCTCAGCCAGTTCAAATTCCGGTCTGGGGGCCTTTCTGGGTGGGGTTTGCACGTTCTCTCCGTGCATATGTGGGTTTTCTCTGGGTACTCCGGTTTCCTCCCACAGACCAAAAACATGCATGATAGACTGATTGGTAACTCTAAATTGTCCCTAGGTGTGAGTGAGAGAGTGAATGGTTGTTTGTCTCGTTTGTCTCTATGTCCCTGTGATGGACTGGAGACCTGTCCAGGGTGTACACAGTGATTGCTGGACATGGGCACCAGTGACCCCCGTGACCCAAAATGGAAGAACCGGGTAAAAGATAATGGATGGATGAATTATTTAAAATGATTTAGCACCTCCTGCACCTTTGTGCAGCCCACACTGCAGGATAAACTTCCTGCTGCAGCTGATCTCCGTGCAGAGCGGAGAAGTGGGCGTGGCGAAGAGTGCATGCAGGTGGCTGAGGCAGAGAGCTGAAATCATGACATTCTGTGCTCTTTTAGAGCATTTAGAGTTTAGAAACATTGTTTAGAATATTGTAAGAGTGTGGGAAGGGTTTAAAACACCTTTATTATATATATATATATATATATATATATATATATATATATATATATATATATAAAAATAAACTACAACTTATTACTTGTACTACTATTCCTTCTTCGCGGTTTTTCACTTATCGCGGGTCTTCAGGGTACGGATCCCCTGAGATAAACGAGGGACTACTGTATTAGCTTGTGCTTCATTTAAGGAGCGTTGCGTGTGATTGACTGTGCTGTCGTTCTTCTGTTGTTGCTCTTAAAAACGTATAGTAAGGTTGACTGTCTCTTCTGTTTTGTCCTCATCTTCATCCGTAGTCATCTGCTTCTTTGTCTGCCGCTCCTCGACAGCAGGCAGGTCGCAGCTTCGCTCGGCTGCTTCGCAGTCGCGTCCCAGCATCCCTCTTAAGACGCACACATAAAGCCGAGGGCCGGCCCTCACACATGCATTCCCATACACAGCCCTTCCGCCTCATTGTACTTTATGCCTCTCTGCTAGCGCTGCCCAGTTTATTTGTGGTGCTGTCTGTGTCTGCGATGTGAATTATTTGTACTGCCAGTCTACCACCCCCACACCCCCCGCGTTGACTCCAGGGCCTGAGTCTGAATTCTCCTTCCCTTAGAGCATTTTGTTTCTGTGCCTCTGTTTGTGTCTGCTGCTTGTGAGGTTCCCTAAATGCCATTCTGTGCAGAATCTTGCCTAGATTCTCCACAGCCGGCATAAAAAACCAGTACAGATAGAACAAGCAGATTTTCTGTATTTTGGATATTTTTTAATGCTAATTGAGCCAGTTTTCTCAAAAAATGTATTACCTGCAAGTTTTATTCCTCTCTATTTCTGATATACAGAATTTGTTTGCCCTTGTGCTTTTTGAAGTGCCCTTTTGATTATAGAAAACTCCATAACTATCAATGTCTTGAAGTCCAACTAAGTTTTGTCTCTGTGTCATCTTCAAACTGCCATCTTCTAGGACATCGAGCTCACTGACCTGTCCAAAATGTTCTCAAATGAGACGGTATGTCCAGAGAGTTAGGAGTCAGCTAGTCACGTGTAGATGTGGTAGACCTGCACTTGTATAGCCTGTAGTTGTAGTTCTAGTATTTGTTGTTGCTCTGCGGTGCATTTTAAATCACGTTTTGCTTGTTGTAGTCCTGATTTGTGAAAAGTGACAGTTTTTGATGTCTTGTACTTTTATACGGACATTAATTCCAGATGTTTTCAAACTCTCTACTCTGTTGGCAGCACAAAACCTTTTTAAATTTCCTTCTAATAAAACAGAGACTAAAGTGTAGTTAAGACGTTTCAGGCATGTTAAAGCAAGTCGCAGCTTTGTGCTTAGCTGTGTTTTGCAATAACGTCATCGTTTCTTTGTTATATTAAGAAACAGTGGTCGTTCCTTTTAAATGTGCTGCACCTCAGTTTGGTTGTTAATTGGAAGAGGACAACCCCTGGAAAGAAGGCCTTCCAGGTTATTTTTCTCTCTCTGTGCACCAAGTCAGTTCAGTTCTGTCACGGAAAGAGTCGTATGAATCTTCTGCGCTTAAAGCTGCTTATTTTATGTGCAAAAAAACATTTTTTCCTGTATTTTTCCCCCACATATACTCTTACTTAAACACAAAAAATCCTAACTTTGTTGTTGATAAGACCTTAAATATGACTCCTCAACCATCTTTGTCCTGCATTAGCCTTTTTTTTTTCTTAAAGACAAACACACGTGCACACCCAGACGCTGTTATGACTCACACAGCGGTCACGCCTACAGGCAGGGAAGCTGACGGAAACAAACATGTCTAACAGTCGCCTGAAGAAACCTTTTTCCACAGATCTCGGACTCGTAATTGAACCTTGTGATGATATTGTGAATATAAACAGTTTTGTTCTGACTGGATCAGTAACTGTTGCTCCAGAGGTCTTTTTTAAAAATTATTTAAATCTGTAATACCCTGCACAACCACTGTGCTGCTGGTGTGTTAGCCGTCACTGATATATCTATGAATTAAAACTAAAAAAAGCTGTAGATCATATCACTCTTGTTTGTGTTACTGAAAAGCGCCGTAACATTTTAATCAACCTTCCTTTATGAAGAAGACAATGTGTTCCTGACTTGTGTATAAATAGCATCTGTTTTCTCATTTTTCCAAGCTTTCTGAACATTTATACTCACTATATTTTACTTTCAGCTAACTTTTTTTTTTTTTTTCACCCAGTTGTTAGAGCCTCTCAGCATGAAGGTCGCAGGGTTGCCTCCTGTCCTGCGGCCTGTCTGAGCAGAGGTTTTCTCTGACTATTTTTGATTTCTTCCCACAAACCAAAAACGTGCACGTTAGGCCCATTGGTAACTCTAAATTGCCCCTAGCTGTGAACAACGATGTGAGCATTTGTTTCTTTCCCTGTGATGGACTTGCGACTTGTCCTGGGTGTACCCTGCCTCACACACAGTGACCGCTGGACATGAGCGCCAGCTCCCCACGATCTGGAAAGGAGAAGTGGGTAGAGAAAATGGATGGACGGATGGATTTCTCACTTGTCTTGATTACTTTTACAGTTCCAACACACTGCCAAGCCGGAGAACCCTGAAAAACTCCAGACTGGTCTACAAGAAAGATGACGTTCATGTGTGCATCATGTGCCTACGCGCCATCATGAACTACCAGGTGAGCCCTCTGTGGTCCACAGTGGGGGAGCCACAGTGACAGCATGACCTTTTAGGAATAAAGCACAACCATATATCTGAAGCCAAATTCAATTTTCTCCACTGCTGGTTCTCCATGGTTTATTTATCAGCTGGAAGAAGTCAAAGATTCATCTTTTCTGTTAATTAGCTCAACTCTCGGTCTCCTTTTTTAATTTATTTTTTTCTCTCCCAGTATGGCTTCAACATGGTCATGTCACACCCACATGCTGTGAATGAAATTGCACTAAGTCTCAACAATAAAAACCCGAGGTAAGTTCGAACCAGCAGCTAACAAAACTTGATAGTTTGGACTGTCATCCATAAAGAAACATTAGTCTCAGTGTCCCTGCAGTCAGAAGCAGAGCGAGTGTTGTTGATGCTCAGAGACACAGTCAGTCAGACAGACGGGTAAAAGCCCTGCCGGCTCGCTCCACTACACTGAGACCGAGGCCGAAGACTCTGCTCCGTGTTTTTGTGCAAATGCTTGTGTTTTCAGTCTAAGCCTAAAGGTTGAAGGATGTGCTGAAGAGTGAATGTGAGAGCACTTCACATCACCTGTCACATCTAGTCTCATCCTGGCAGAGACATGCCGAGTCACTGAAGTGAAAATAACACACACACGCACACACACACACACACACATACACACTGCAAAGGATGAGCTGGTTTTAAAGTGTCATAATGTGAATACTTGAAGATTTGATTATTTTGTTGCATTTACATCAGATATTTTAAAGTGGCGTTCTGTGGAAAGATTGTGCGCAATTAATATCTTACCTGTTGTAGATGTCTGAACGGTTTGGAGAAATATTGATTAGTTTTGGCTGGCCTGACGTGCTAATGGCTAGTCCAAGCAGCAACAAGCATAAAGTGGATTGCTGCTGTTTTAAAACGTCTACAAACGTTTCACAGTGGTTCATGCAAACGTTATTTTTATAAATCTTTACATTGCGGTCACTTTCACTATAATCATATATTTACCTACTGTAGATATATAGTGATGTAATAAAAGCTCAAACAGCAGCAGCTAGCTTTAGCCCATCTGGTTCATCTTAGGGAACTTTTGATAAGAATATTCTATTATTTATCTGCTTCGTTCTTGGAGCAGCTATGACTAGCCTTTAGCTCGACATTCTGAACTGAAAACTATTATTTCCCCAAAATAAGGTTGTTTGAAGAGCTACCTACAGCAGGTAAGATAATTGTTCATAGCGATTCTACAGAACCCTTGCATCAAAAGATCTGAACCATCCATTTTCTTGTATTAAACTAAACGCCATGTAATTACATGTCCATTCATAATTACATGTCCAGTATTTTTTTAGTTATGACGTGATGTTATATTACATTTCCTACGTCTTTCTTTGCTCTGTGTGTAAGTATAGGTTTCCTCTTGTCATTTCCTCACCGTTTCTGCTTTTACTTTGTGGTTTACAGAACGAAAGCTCTGGTTTTGGAGCTCCTGGCGGCAGTTTGTCTCGTCAGAGGAGGCCACGAAATTATTCTCTCCGCGTTCGACAACTTTAAGGAGGTATGACCTGTGTGGAAAGGTGAACCGGGGGGTGTAAGGGGTGAGGGTAGACCAGTTCATCCTTACATTCCAAACCGTGCAGTTCCCGACAATGACTCAGCCCTTGAGAAATGCTTCTCTAGCAGATTCCTCGCCGCTTCAAAGGGATCGCATCCTTTTGTCGACAGATCAGAGGCACCGTGGGGCGACCCGTGCAGGAAAACCAGTTTTGTGCGCGTTAAGATTTGTCTGGCTCATCAAAGCTGACAAAAGCAAGGAGGCTGATGTTAAGAGATGTCCTCTGTTGACCGTCGCCTGTCTGGATGAGGTATTCTGGCTGCTGCACGGTAGAGTGGGAGCTAAAAACGCAGCCTCATTTTGCATCCTAAAAACATAAGGCGACTGCAGTTTATGTAATATTTACACCCCCGAATGAAATATTAAATGTTGCTCTCAGCGACGGTGGCATTAGTGGGGAGAATTAGCCAGAGCAGAGCTAATCTAATGAGGTGGAGGCAGAGAAATGTTTCTGATACTATAAAGTGCAGGAGGCATGTCGAGACTTTTCTTATAGCGCAGTGGAGGCAGAATTTTTTAAAATTAATAATGCTATTAGATATACTTTGCCGAGGTATTTGTTGCTTAAAGAAGCTGCAGGCAGGGGCTGGAGGTTTTCGGGTAAACACTTAGTTTTCTTCTTAGATTCTTTTAATATGCTCTCTCTGCCTCGGTGCCCTCTCAGTGACCTGTTTGAACCGCAGAGCATCTTTATCCAGTCTCTTTTAGCTTTCCGTCAACTTCAAATAGGCATTTCTGTCAAAGGAAATAATAAAAAATACATCATATTTGTGGTTAGTTTTGTATGCTGAACACAGATGCGGTATCAGCTGTAAATAAGATGAAAGCAGAATGTATGAATAATTCATTACAGCAATAATCTCTCTGAAAAATGTCTCATTTTTTAGGATCAGAGCGAGCTGTGATGTTTTTATCTGCTATCTTAATTCTACCAGATGCTTGTGATGAGTCACACAAAACTAAAGCTAAAATTAAGAGTCCCTTTTGCAGTTTTGGTTTTCACCAACTCAAACGTCGTTTGGTTTGACCGTTTTTATGCATCGGTTCTTCCCTGCAGTAAATGTGTGCTGTGTTCAGGTTTGCATGGAGTCGCAGCGGTTTGAGAAGCTGATGGAGTACTTCAAAAACGAAGACAACAACATTGACTTCATGGTGAGTACTAACAAACTCCTAATGACTATTGATTGCTCTGGAAGTTTGCCCCCCCTCATCAGATCAGACAGGAAGTGGTTTGGGAAGCTTTCTGAGCTCCAGAGGGACAAACTAAATGTATTCCCTTAATATGACTCCATGTTTTGAACGATTTTGGGAAAGCAAATTCAATTGTATTTCAAGGGTGAGATAAAGAGAGCAGCCGTGATGAAACCAAAACACGACACAGATGAGCTGCCAGGTGCTTGTTCATATTCAAATACTTTGACCAGAACTGCACGTGTCCTTGTGTTACCCTAGACTGGAAAATATAACAATAATACATAAAGGGCAGGCAAACTTTATAGATAAAATAAATCAAAACCATTATTTTAGTCAATAAGATTAACATTTTGTAGAAAGAAAGTATATTAAAGATATTCAGAATGTTGTTTATCCTGTTCTACTGACTGCATTCTGTTTTGTTTTGTTTTTCTCCTCCAGGTTGCATGTATGCAGTTCATCAACATAGTTGTGCACTCAGTTGAGGACATGAACTTCAGAGTTCACCTACAGTACGACTTCACCAAGCTGTGTTTGGACGACTACTTGGATGTGAGTAAACCGTAAACAGACAGAAATCCACACGGTAGGCTGTCAATACTGCACCTCCCGAGGCAAAAACCACAGAAAAGCTGTCAATAATGGCTTTTCCACTACTTCAAATTAATTAATTTTCATAGAGCCTCGTCTCCTGACCCTCTGTAGAGAGGTGAGGTCGGTGCCGGCTTTAGGAAGTGAGCTTAAAAAAAATGGATCCTCACCTTCACTCACGTTTTGTGTATATTTTCCAGAAACTTAAGCACACTGAGAGTGATAAGCTCCAGGTCCAGATCCAGGCCTACTTGGATAATGTGTTTGACGTGGGTGCCCTGCTGGAGGATGCTGAGACCAAAAACGCTGCTTTGGAGCGGGTGGAGGAGCTGGAGGAGAACTTGTCACACGTGAGAGCCCTTGAGTCTTGTGTTTAAGGATTTGACGCTCGGTAAAGCTGACTGCATCGTCTCGATTCCCACATTTTTACATCAAAACGTTAATGTCGAAGCAAACTGACGGGGGGAATAAAATACGATGCTGGGCTCTGCTGTGATGTCATCGTTCTACCACTCAAACATGGACCACATCAAACGCTTTGCATCGCCGCCCCATTAGAGGCCACTGACATATTGAATGTGTTGCTGTCACTGCAATGAGTTCCTGCCATGAAGTGACCTTTTTCTGCTGGATGTTCCCATAGATGACAGAGAAGCTGCAGGACATGGAGAATGAAGCCATGGCTAAGATTGTGGAGCTGGAGAAGCAGCTGATGCAAAGAAACAAGGATCTTGAGTCCGTCAAGGTTAGATTTGCTCTTTGCATGAGGATTTTTAAAACTTAATGCAACTTCTTTGAGCGCATACGGCTTTTGGGATTGTAGAAAATGTCACCGTCGCACATCAGTTCTACAGAAAACTACAAGTTTTCTTCTCTGTCAGTCATTTATTCGTACCAACATACTTATGACCCTTTCTTCCTCCACAGGAAGCCTTCAAAGACACCACCTCCCAGGTTCACTCGCTGCGGCAGACGCTGAAGGAGAAAGACGAGGCCATCCAGCGTCAGAGCAAGCTGGAGAAGAAGATCCACGAGCTGGAGAAGCAGGGCACCATCAAGATCCACAAGAAGGGAGACGGAGACATCTCCATCCTGACGTCCTCTCCGTCCGGTGTGGAGGGCCCGTCGGGCGTCACGCCGGGGGTCGGTCAGAACCACGTGGGAGGCACGGCTGCCGGACCTCCACCACCTCCTGCACCCCCTCCGCTGCCGGGAAACGGAACATGTAGGTTCAGTGACGGAGCAAATGTTTTGTGTTGGACGGTTTTATGTTTTTGATTTATTTAAAAAATCTAATGTTTTGTTTGACTCTTCTGTTACTTCCGTCAGCTCAAGCTGTATTTCTTGCTCTTTGTTTTTCCACCAGTACCAAATGGGCCATCGTTAGAACTTCCAACAGTAGCTCCTCCCCCTCCACCCCCACCCCCTCCTCCTCCTCCCCCACTACCCTCAGAGATGTCAGCTCCTCTGCCTCCTCCTCCACCCCCTGTGGCACCCCCACTGCCTGGGTGTGGGACGCCCACAGTGATCATGAACTCGGGGTTAGCAGGTGAGCTTGAATCCATCTTTAACCTTCAAAACAAGTCTCCCGTCACTTTTAGCTGCTTTGTAATGACTGACTCGACCCGCCTCTCACCTGTTTCTGCTCACCTTAATGTTAAGTTGCGATGACAGACTCTGGAAAGCCTCAGTCACCGGATCAGCCTGTACTATGTGTACATATATGTATATTTCTCAGTACTCTGTAGGTGAAGATGCACACAAACAGATAAATATCCTCAGGCCAAAATGTGAAATTTGAAACGTTTACATCAAAGAAGACAACCAATCAGTTAATAATCTTTACACAATTATGTAAATGGATATCTTTTTTTTCCCTTGTGTTGGATATAATGTGCTATTTGTGAAAGGAATATATTATTTATTAATCTGCTTCCTTATATAAATATTATTGTCCTCTATTAATAACCTTTATAATCCTTTTATTACTTTAAGGTCATTGAGAATATTTCATTGTTATCATTTCAATATTATAATCATTTTGATGTGACTATCTGTAAGAAGACAGTGAAGAGTTCATGGTCCCTTTATCTTCTTGATATTTGTTTCCTGGGAATCCTTGAGAGGTGCTTGTTTTCCACGTCTTTGCCTGCAGCTGTTCTGATAGTGGCTGGGCACGGCGAACTGGTGGAAGTGTAGTGAGGAGGTTCCTAAAAACCAACAGCTTTGCTTCAGGGCGCCAGAGACAGCTCAGAACTGATGCCAGCAGACCGGGCAGACTAAAACTCTGATGTTTTGACTTTCTGTGAAACTGACTGTTCTCTCATTTGCCGGCAAATTGAAGATTTAATGAAGTCTGCTCCTGATTGTTTGTGACTCTGTTCTTTTCTACGGCATTATTCTTTCCTCTTTTGACAAATCTGTAATAATTTTCTCTTTGAATTGTCTCCTTTTCTCTGCCAACCAGAGGGACCCATCAAACTTTTCTGTACGTTCTGGCTGTTGTGTGTTTTTGTCTGTGGTCATTTTAAATGTGGTGTTTTTAAAGAGAAATTTTCTCGTGCTTTGTAAATATTTTACCTTTGTTTTCTCTATAGTGATTCTGCAGTATTTGGTGTTTGAAACCTAATAAGTCACTTTAGTGTCAACTGTAGTATTTTGAAATGTTTTCTTTTTCTAACCTGATCATCTCAAATTGATCCGATTGAGAATATTTCTGCTCGGTCAGAAAATGCCACATTTAAAAATCGACACTGTTTGTCGTCACGTCTTGCTGTTTATATGAATGAAGCATCTAATTGTGTTGCATGCTGAGACGGTGACCTGCTGTGGCACGCAGGTGATTAAAGTGATAAAAATGGAGCAGAGCAGGAATGCTGTTTACCTTTCCCATGCCGGCCTTATGGCTCGGCCCACTCCTGACACCTGGTCTGCAGGCCGGAGTGAAGGCGCCACCTCCACGTTCAGCTTCAATGATGCAGCTCTGGTGGCTACAAATAGCTTTAATCTGCCCAATAAATAGTTTGGCCCCAATCCTCAGCGTATGTAACATTTACTGAACAGGAATACCTCCCGGCCTTGTTCTCGTGCCAGGAAGTTGAGGGATTTAGCTCTACAGGGGAAGTTTGACAGCATCTTTAAGGTTCTGTTTGAGGGACTTACATCCAGAGGACCTGATTATTAAACATGCGTCAGGACATTAAACATGTTTTGTTAAAGCATTTAATACATTAAAATGTTTAGATTTCCCTTTCAGATTTTTTAGATTTATTTGTAAAAACACCTTTGTCCAAAAATCTTGAGTTCGTTGTTTTTAGAGTAAAAGTGGTAAGTTGGACCCCCTTTTTTATGATCACAAGGTAAAATTGTAAATTTAGACAGAAGTTAGAATAACCATTTGTTGGCTTTAACAATAGCTAGAGGAAACAACTGGAATTAGTAGATCAGAGCTTTAAAAAAGTAGAAAATCAGGATTTGAAATCTGTGCATCTCTAGAGATTAGCTCTTTTTGTTACTGATTCCCATCCACCCCTTCTGCTGCATGGGTGTGTGTTTTGCACGTTGATTTTTGGAGCAGCACTAATTTGTTTTCATCTGGTTCAGCTGTTAAGATCAAGAAACCCATCAAGACGAAGTTCCGGATGCCTGTCTTTAACTGGGTGGCCCTGAAACCAAACCAGATCAACGGGACCGTGTTCAACGAGATCGACGACGAGCGGATACTCGAGGTACGCACTCAGAAACGCCTTCTCAAATCCTGCCTCATGCCCATCACCGACACATCCTCGTCGTCTTTTAGGACCTAAATGTCGATGAATTCGAGGAGATGTTTAAAACTAAAGCTCAGGGCCCGACGGTCGAGCTCACTATGAACAAGCAGAAGATCATTCAGAAGGGACCCAACAAAGTGACCCTGCTGGACTCCAACAGAGCCAAGAACCTGGCCATCACACTGAGGAAGGTGGGCAAGACGTCTGAGGAGATCTGCAAGGCTATTCAGCTGTAAGTTTGCTTCTGCCTTTCTTTGATTAGTTTCCTGTCCCGATTGAAACATGAGACGAGATATCATTCTTCTTTTACATTGTCCCACCTGGAAGTCTTTAAAATATTTGAAGCAGCTTTGTGCATAACTGTGATCATCTGGCCTTCAGGTTTGACCTGCGGACTCTGCCGGTGGACTTTGTGGAGTGCTTGATGCGCTTCCAGCCCACAGAGAACGAGATCAAAGTCCTGCGACAGTTCGAGAAGGAGCGCAAGCCTCTGGAAAGCCTGACGGACGAGGACCGCTTCATGATGCAGTTCAGCAAGATTGAGCGGCTCATGCAGAAGATGACCATCATGGCCTTCATCGGCAACTTCAGTGAAAGCGTTCAGATGCTCACGCCGGTAAACACTGTTTCAGCGGCTTCTGCCGTTGTGGCTGCTTGTTGTGCTGAAACTGTCGTTTGACTCTTTGCAGCAACTGCACGCCGTCATCGCAGCGTCCGTCTCCATCAAGTCGTCACAGAAGTTGAAGAAGATTTTAGAGGTAACCGAACACGGGTTCTTCATGTCCAACGTGTCTACCTTCCTGTATGACGTTTGTTTGTGTTCTTCAGATCATCTTGGCTCTTGGAAACTACATGAACAGCAGCAAGAGAGGAGCCGTGTACGGATTCAAGCTGCAGAGTTTAGACCTGGCGAGTGGATTTCTTCTGACTGAACTTCAAAGCTTCTTCTTCCGCTAAATGTTTTTCTTTTTTACTTTCTTCGCAGCTGCTTGACACCAAGTCAACAGACCGCAAATTGACACTGCTGCACTACATCGCCAACATCATCAGGGAGAAATACCCACAAGTGTCTCATTTCCACAATGAGCTACACTACGTTGAGAAAGCTGCTGCAGGTGAGCGCATGCAAGAACGTTTTTGTTTTGTTCTCAAAGAGCGGGTTGATGTGATACAGAGCACGTCTCTCCGTGTTCACAGTGTCGCTGGATAACGTCCTGCTGGACGTCAAAGAGCTGCAGAGAGGCATGGAGCTGACCAAACGAGAGTACAGCATGCACGGACACAACACCATGCTCAAAGACTTCATCGCGCACAGCGAGAGTAAGCTGAAAAAGCTGCAGGACGACGCCAAGATCGCACAGGTGCAACTTCTGGAGAACACCCCGCTTTGGTCCTGATGAGCCTCACACTAACTAATAAAGCTTGTTTTATGTTTTTTCTTTCTAATAAGGACGCCTACGACGAGGCTGTCAAATTCTTCGGGGAGAACTCAAAAACCACACCGCCGTCCGTTTTCTTCCCGGTGTTTGTGCGATTTGTTAAGGCCTACAGGGTGAGTTGGTCACCAACATCTAGCAGTGTACCCACTATAGATTTTTTTTCTTTTTACTTTATAATCTACTTTAACATTTCTGCAAATTATCACATTTAGCATTCTTTGAGGAAAGTCATATTGTCAACATCTTGCATGCCAGAGTTTTAAACAAGATGTGTGATCAGATAGTGCTGAATGTGTGTTTGGGATGACTCTCAGCTACCACCATGCCAAATTTGAACTCATTATGTGTAAAATTGACCGAGTTAAAGTTATTTATGTATATGATTAGCTCTGGTGCAACCCTCATTCGTTGAAGATGTATATCCAGTGATACTTCTTGACCTCCTCAAACCACCCGTGTTGTTTTTCATATCCCATGTTTTTCTGTATTTAGGCGCATTAAGCGAAACAAGTTCATTTTGAGATTTTTGAGCGCCGTGTACCGCATAAAATCGGTTCGAGGTCAGTAAGCACAACCAGAATTAATATATAAGGTGCACCAAATTATAAGGCTCACTGTTGATTTTTGAGAAAATTAAAGGATTTTAAGTGCGCCTTATAGTCTGAAAAATATGGTATATAGCAATGTCAAAATACTGCAGTAAAATCTCATCTTGTGTATATTTAAGTCATAACAACTTATTGTTTGGCTCCTCAGCAAGCGGAGGAAGACAATGAGCAGAAGAAGCGCCAGGAGCAGATGTTGATGGAGAAACTCCTTGAACAAGAAGCCATGAAGGAGGAAGACCAGAAGGTAAACTCTTCTTCTCTTTCAGCTCGGTCGTCTCTCTTCCTTTAGATTCCTGCTCGCAGGATTAGCAGAGCACCGACCGCCTGCTGTGCCAGCTCTTTTACTGTCCGACGTCCTGCTGAGCAACATCTCTCAGGATCACTGATTATTCTGTTAACACACAGACAAACCTGAAGGAGAGGATGTGCAGAACAAAAAAAACATGTTTGAGTAATAAAAAAAAACTACCTGTATAGTAATAAGCTTGTGTAATAATCTCTTGGTTTCAGTCTCCGTCCCATAAAAACAAGCGGCAGCAGCAGGAGCTCATCCAGGAGCTCCGGAGGAAACAGGTTAAAGACAGCCGCCATGTCTACGAAGGCAAAGACGGAGCCATCGAGGACATCATCACGGGTAACTTCACCCAAACCTGGCTACGATCACACACACACACACACACACCCTCTGCTCTGTGCATGGAGGGTCAGTCCTGCTGGAAATCCAGCCTTTAACAAGAAGATTCTAAACCAACTAACGTGACTTCAACTCTGACGAGCAAACGTTTTACTGAATGAGTTCAAACAGGAGCTGCTACTCGACTCAGATGTGCCTTAAGATCATTGCTTATCTGCTCTGTCTTTGCTTTGTAACACTGTACATACACAGGGCCGGGATATGACTCTTTCCCTGGATAATAAAAAGTCCAAGCAAAACCACGTAAAGTAATAAACAATGTTTTATTTCTCTGTCCCGACTAAAGGTTGAGGAATTTAAGGAACAGTTTCTCAAGAGCAACGCTGAAGCTGCTGCTTTATTTCACTGATTAAACACCTGTTAATAGCGTATGTTACAAAAACAAAGCAGAAAATGTTGTGGGACGTCATAAAAAATGTGCCAAATTGTCTAAAAAGTAGTAAAATAGCACAGAGATATGTGTAACCTGACAGTTTTGAAACACAAGCTAACAAACACCTAGAATGTGAAATGAATCTGTGCTTTTTTACTGTTGAATAGTTGAAGAAGTGATTGGTTTATTAAATTAAACTATTGTTTTGTGCTAAAGATGAGGTGGTGTGATATCAGAGCTCAGGTCAAAGGCCTCCTGTAGATCTGAGGTTCATCATCTGGACATTAAGACAATAATCTGTAGCGTTGACTAAATACCCTCCGACGGCTTTTAATCCATAATTAAATTAACAAGAACACTTTCTTATTGAGCAGCTAAAGTCCCGTTGCTGCTGGTACTGAATTCAGGAGTACATATGAAGTCATACTTGTCAGTTTTAGCTTCTGATATGTTGCCTGTATTACAAAGCTGTGGGGAGTAGGGGTGGACGGTGATGCAGCGCCCCCTGATGGATGCCAGCGGACCTACATGCTCATTTTATCGCCTTTATGTGGCATTAGAATATTCTTCATGTGGGGGTTTAGGGTCATACACCTGCAACACATTCTCATTAATGCGCTTTATTAATAACCTTTAAGATTTAAAACAATTAATAAAACTAAAATCTGTCTTTATTTACTACAGTTTGGGAAATTAGGTTATACAGTATTTCTTTGACATTTTTTTTCTTGATCAGGTTGTTGGGCATTTGCTCTGGCGCTAACAGACGCTAAACTCTGTAGAAGACTTGCTTTTCTCACACTGTGTCTGTCTTGTTGTGTTTTTTTTGTCTCGGCTGTTTGTCGTTCTCGATGCAGTGCTGAAGACCGTGCCCTTTACCGCCCGCACAGCCAAGCGCGGCTCTCGGTTCTTCTGCGAGCCCGCTCTCAATGAGGAGCACCATTACTAAAGCTTATAGATCTGTCTCTCTTCTCAAAGGTTGCTGGAACAAAACGTTTGCATCTTCGTGTCCTCTCCCCCACCCAATGCATGCCTTGTCACACTCCTGCTCCTTTAACTCTTACATTCACGCCGTGGACAGCACACACACAGGTGTGCAAATGCCTGTTTGTGTGAGTTTTCTTTTATTTGAGCATGACAAAAGGTTTGGGATAAAGTTTCATTCTATCCGCCTGCATGAAGTGTGACGCCCACATTCATCCTCATTAAGTCATCAGCCATGGCAGAAAATAATGTCACAGAGAGGGAACTTTGTCTCTTTTAGTAAGAAAAGTCAGGCTGTGTGCTGCCATCTAGTGACCATTCATGTAATGTGTTTGCAGCCAGTCTTGTCATATACAAAGGTATGACGAATGTGACGTTTAAGTGACTGTGGCATTATAACTTGCTTCTCCGTGTGTTTTATCATCACATATAACGTTGATGCTCTACCTCGCATGCTGATTGCCTCATCCCTGCTGCTTTCCCATAATGCACCTCTCTGAGCCGTGCTGCCGTCTGCAGACATGTTGCTTCCCGGTCTGTCGTGCGGCTTCTGGTTTCTGCACGTTACCCATGATGCTCTGCCTGTTTTTGTGTGCTACTAACATGCAGCCAGTTTGTGTCACTGATTTTTCACGTTTTGAGCTCACTAACTGATTAGTAGTGGTATTTTCCTGGCTGCGTGCATGCTGTGGTTGGGTTTTTGGTGCTGGTGAACATAATGCTGTTTGTCTGGACTTGTTCTTTTTTTTTAATTGAGTACTTACAGTTGCTCTGAACTGGAGGTTTCTGTCCTGCTGGTAGCCACTTTACAAAGCAGTTTGGGTCTAGTAACAGAACAAAAACAGAGCTTTGATCATCCTTTGCAGGTTAAAAGGTTTAAACCAGTTAACCTCCTCTTACCTCTGTCCTCTCCGGTCGTTTCCCACACGCAGCCTCCTGCTTTGCTCTCGCAGCGCGAACGTTTGGTGCAGACATGCTTCGTCTCCCAGTTTTAATCTTCGTTTTGTTTTTGTCTTTTTCTTCATCCAGAGCTAAAGAAGAATAATATTACTAAATTTCCCAATGTCTACTTGAGGGTAAGGAAGTCGGCCAGTAGCACCCCTGTAGTGGTGGATGTGGCTCAGACCTGGCAAGCATTTCTTTATTACCTCCCTTATTTTGTTTGCAGTGCTTTTAATTTTAGTACATTTGACGGTGAACAGCTTGCAATTTTTAGTCTACGCTTCATAAAAAAAAGATGCATACGTGTACTTTAGATTTCTGAGCATTATAGGTGCCTGTTTTTATGTTTAGACCTCACGCTGCTTTGAAAGTTAGGCTACCAGCACTCCTGAACATGTGGGCTCAAGAAAACAAAACCAAGATGACGACTGACATCACTTTATCCTCCATCCAATCCTTTACCCCTCTCCTCAGATTTAAGGAATCAGCCGTACAGACGAGCGGACGCTGTGCGGAGGAGCGTCAGGAAACGCTACGACGATCAGAATCTGCGGCCGGTGAACAATGGAGAAGTGGTCATGTGACGAGGGAACAGTGCACGTGCAGCAGGAGGGAGGGAGGGAAGCAGGAAAGGATGGAGTGGGGTAAAGTGACGCGGAAAGAAGGATGCCAGGTGTTTGTAGCAGCTATGGAGACGACTTTACATGAAACTATTGAATATGAATCTGCACGCTAAAGTAGCAGAACTCACTATGAAGGACTATGAAGGAGCGGGAACGGGACTGAGATCAAAGTGTTTTGAAGAGTTGAATCGAAACGACTTAGACAAGCCAAGTGCCTGAACTTATGTTTTTCTATTCGTCTGTTTTTATTAACCCTACTTAAAGCAATACAACTCGAGCTGGCTTTAAAGACGTGTAAAACTGGACGTGCAGCAGCCTTAGGAGCCATGTGAAAACATGTCACCCTGGAATGTACGGGAACTTTTTTTTCCCTTTTAGCTGTTTAAAATGACATATTTTAAAGAAAGGTGCGACTTGTGTGTTGTCAGAATGCATTCGGGCGCTCTTCATCATTCCTCTTTAAATGTATGCACAAACTTTTTTTTTCTTTGAAAAGTCTCGAGGCTTTTTATTGTACTAAAAGGGGAGAAAAACTGGCTTGAAGAAAATGAAAAAATATATATTTAAAACTATATTTGTACTGTTTAAAAAAAAAAGTTATAAAATTTGACCAGTCTAATGTGAAATGTATTATTATTATTATTATTATAAACGATGGGTCAAGTTCAAATTTGTAGCTTTGAATCAATAAATGAGCGTTTACTTAAAAAATCTGCAGATTTTTGCAGAAGCATCGTTTTTATGGTTTTGGGAACAAAAATATGTGATCGGGAAATTCCAGCTTCTGTAACTTAAGCATAGTTACGTTTCATATAAAGTATTTACCACAAACGCATCATTAAAGCTCATATTTTCATCTCATGTGACAAAAATACAACAAATGTTTTTTGTTGTACAGATATTTTGCTACTTAATATGTCGGGACCTGTTTTTTTTTTTTAACCTTAATATTGTACATAATGTTTGAACAGGTTTTCATTGCCTTGTGCGATTCAACTTGAATGTTATTTTAACTTATAGTTTTTGTATATTTAATTAAGCCAAATGCAGCCAGAAATCATTAGGTGTTCACTGTTGTGCAGGAAGCAGAGTCGCCGTGTTTTTATATCACAAACAGCAAAAATATTCTAAAAAGTGTTTAAATGTGTTCATTCGACAGAAACTGTTACAGCCTGTTGTATCGTTTCCTCCACTAAAACACGTCGTGCCGTTCTGCTTTGCCGTTTCATTCCATAATGTCTCAAACTGGGTAATTCTGGCATTTTTGTCTCACCACAAATGTATTTTCAATGATCTGTTCAAAATAATCTTTTCTTAAATTAGATGAGATTTTCAAAAATCTAATAAACTATTTACACTGACTGTAACGATGTCTGCTGTGACGCCTTTGAATGTTTGTAAAAGGGAAATGTATCAAACGTGCGGAGCATTAAGATCTATTACAACTCATTTATTGTTGTGCTACTCCATTTGTTGATTTTCTAGTATTTTTTTTTTTTCTTGGATTTAGGAAAATCTCACTGCAAGATCTATGGGTGGTCTGCAACCTTTGCAATAAAAAGAGGCCCATGGGCCTCTAGTTTTGTTGGAGACGGCTTTTTCGGCCAGTGGGGCTAATATATAACGAAAAATGTCTAAATTATTATTTATTTTTACATTTTAATACAAAAGACCAAATTCATGTAAAGAAAAAAATCATACTTTAACAATTTTATATAAATTAAAATCTATGCGAGTTCTCAATTATTGAAGAATATCCTACTTAAAGCATAAAGCATAAAGACAGTATAAAATTAGTCCAGTTTGTTGGATATCCAATTCTATTTTTAAAGAAAATACTTTTATTTATTTTGACTTTGTTTTATTCTTAGTGTTATTAAAGTTACCATATTCCTTCTCAGCAACTCGTCTTAAAGATATTCGTAAACGTTCTGGTGGTTTTGAGAGAAAGATCACGCTGAGACTTCAAGAGGCTAACAGGCTGCTAGCACGACGTAGTCCACATTTTACACCTTGTATTTATATATTCTTCACATATTTGAAAATGACAGGAAATCTGCTAAAACTTGCCATTTTTATAGTTGGTAATAATTTAAATAAAATTCAGTTTTATTTTAGTTTTGGTCAAAACGTTGCAGAGGTGGAGGGACCAAAGAGACACATGAGGCCCCAGAGCTGCAGGTTGCAGACTCCTAGACGTTTCCTAAAAAAAAATAAAAAGTGAAACGTTTGAACAAGAGTACAAAAAGTTTTTAAATTTTTAATTAGATTACAAATAAAAATAGCTTAAATATTTTGTTACAAAATGTGAAGTTAAAACAGTAATTAAAGTATCACTGTAATGGTTGCTCATTATTACCCATTAGTCATGTAACAATCATTTTTAGTAACTTTCTAATTTAGTGAGTCAAGTTGTTTTAAAACTACCAAAATAAATCGTGGGACAGATTCATCTCCTCTCCTTTAAAATTTAAAGTCTTTGTCAAATAAGGTAGAATGAAAAAAGTTTTATTTTCTTTACTGACCTTTTGATCCGTTTATCTTTCATCGTAGCTGCCATCCAGATCCTTTCAGCACACGGACCATTTGACCAGAGCTCACGTTGTCACCGATGTTTCCTAAACTGATGACTCCTTCATTAAACTCATATTCAGGATGGACTGTCCTCTAATTAACATTAAGGACGTTTTGGGCTGGACTCAGGACCAGACAGTCCCTTTGGTTCACTGTTGGAAACTAGTGACAAAAAAATGAGGACACGTCCACAAATCAAGTGTCCTGGTGAAACCTAACCTGTATAAGTAAAGGTTGACTGACTGGTGAAAGACCACCGGTACATTTCTGAACTAATTTGTTGGTTATTTCTAGAGTTGCTAAAATAATCTGATATATTTAAAGAAAGCAGACACTTAGGTTATTCAACAAAGTCAGGTCCTCTGGATGGTTTCTTTTTTTGTAGTTATTGAGACGTTTCGTCCTTTATCCAAAGGACTTCAGTCCGAGGAGCCAGCCACAAGCAGCACACTCACATAGTGGGTCAACCACTTTTATGGTGATAAGATGGTTTTTGGGTCCCACCCTGTCCCCCGTCGACTCCTCTGAGGCAGCCATGGTCAAAATGGTTCAAAACATCAAAGTTCATGTTCAATATTACAGCTAAAAAACATCCAACAAAGTTCAGTCAGCTTATCTGGATGTTTTTTTTTTTTTTTTCTGGTTGAAACATTTTGCTCTTCATCCAAAAGACTTCATCAGTTCATGAGGCCATGGCTGCTTCAGAGGAGTTGACGAGAATGGGCGGACTCCAGAAACATCATCATCAAACTGGTTGGGCCCACTACGTGAGTGCGCTGCTTGTGGGACTGAGTTTGTTGTGGCTCCTCGGACTGATGAAGTCCTTTGGATGAAGGATGAAACACCTCAAAAAGAAACCATCCAGAGGACTCAACTTAATTTTGTTGGATTCATTACCTGGATTATTAAGCATGAACTTTGACACTTAGATTATCTTTAGCCAAACTCCTCCCATCATACAAATGCAAAAAAAAAAAAAAAGCTAGATTATTTTCTTGCAATCTTACAGTTCTATAAAATAGAACTATTTTATAAAGACAGTGAGCGTGACTTTAAAATATGCTTTTAATTCAAATAAAAATGATGGACATTGACAAAGGAACGATTACAGCCAGCTAAAGAAAATACTTGAAGCTAACAACAGGCAGCTGGACGTTTACAAACTGAACAGCCGAAGAGTTTCCTGATATCAAATTAGTCACAGAACGGGTGTAAGAACAGTACATTAGTGCACCCCCATTAAAACCAGCGCCGGGTGTTCTCTCATTCAGCAAAGAGCGAGCAGTACTGGGAATGCATGTTTGCTGAAGTGTACAAAGAGCAACAAAAAAAATAAAAATAAAAAAGATCAACGAACGCATCATCAAGGCGCGTCTAGCTGTTCCAGTAAAGTCCGTCGTCTTTTCTCCAGCTCTCCTTCACTCAGCTCGCTGCCTGAGGTGTCCCAGCCCCCCTGAACGAAACAGAGCCGGGTGGGGCTTTGCATTAGTGCCTGATGGGAGTTACACATCAGGGTCGAAAGAAATAACGACAAACTCACCTCCTCTTTAGCTGCTTTCTTTTTAACAGGCTTCAGTTTGGACTCTGAGCGGGACTTCCCTCGAGACTTGTCGTTCTCTTTATCCTTCTCCACCTCCCTCTCGTGCTTCCCGTCGCGCTCTCGTCCTTTCTTCTCGCTCTCAGAATCCGGCGAGGCCTGTTTGTCATGGTTAGAATGAGAGGAGAAACGGACTGCGTGCACTCTGACGATGCAGTGGAAGTAGAAACGGCGTGTACGTACAGACTTGTGGCGTCTCCTCTTCCCCTTCTTCTTATGCTTTTTGGACTTTTTATAGCTTCTCTCTAGTTTCAGACAGACAGAGAGTCAGAGCTGCATTTCTGACATCACCTGATAGAAGGAAAACACTAACCAGACTCTCCGCTAGACGAGCGTTCAGAGGGAGACTTGGACAGCGACCGCTTCTTCTTCTTGTGGTACTCCTCTTCCTCAGACTCCGAGGCCTTTTTAAGGAGGAAAAACGGTTGATGATCATCAGGTTTCATGGAGCAGAAAACTTTTCAACCGTGTTTAAGACACTAACTGATCGAGAGCGAGAGCGTTTCCTGTGGTGCTTCTTGGACTTCTTCGAGTGCTTTTTCGTCTTGGAGTGGTGATGCTGGCACTCATGCTAAAAGAAAGAAAATGTTAAACATGGCCACCGTGAAGACTGATGAATCCAGCGGGCTCTTACCTCTAGGATATGCATGAAATCTTTGAATATTCTTTTCCTCTCGGACTCCAGCGTCACGTCTTCAAAAGCAGGTTCTTTCAGGAATCTGTCTCTGGCCTGGAAGAGTCAAAAGTCGCTCGGCATAAAACTGAATGTGATGGGGAGAAGTATAAACAGAAAAAAAGATGGCGTTGTGACATCCCGGGTACGTACTTCCTCCCATGTAACCTCTGGCTCCAGAGGGGGTGTGGCCTGCTTCAGCATGGTCTTAAAAGCTGCTTCTTTTCTTTTCATCTTGCGGGCCTCCTCCTTCTCGCGCTCCCTCTCTCTGGCTTCAGCTTTCTCCAGTAACTGTTCAGAAACATCATGTGAACAACACAAACCCTGTCCTGGACTCCATGTTTACATGTGAAGTAAAGCGTCAAGTTTACAGGCAGCTGCACATGGACCCCAGCAACTTTGAAACCTGTTTCAACTTTCTATACGGACATGTATACTGACCTACATAGAATATTTTCAGAATTCAACAGAAATAAAGTTTTAACTTGCTGATATTGTTAAAAGCTCAAATAGTTTTGTTTCATAACGAGCCATTTTAGACTGAATTTAAGAAACAGATTTGTTTTATTGTTACTAAAATTTCTTTAAATCAGCTGACAACTAAAGAAAATGCATTTCCTGTGAAAATGCAGTGAATGCTTATTGCTGACGAACTTGCTGAAAAACAGCTGAAATTAGCTAAAAACATGCTGAAACGTAGATGAAATGGAAGAACAAGCCTGTTTGCAGAATAAATCAGAAAGAACACATATTTGCTGAATTAGGTTTAAATAAGTGGAAATTAGCTTTAAAAAAAAAGCTTAAATTAGCAAAAACAGCTGAAAAGTAGTTAAAAAGGCAAAAAGAAGCTTAAACTACCAGAAGAAAGCTGAAAGAGCTTAAATAAGGTAAACAAATATGGAATTAGCTGAAAAGGCAAAAATTAGCATAAAACAGCTAAATAGTAGGTGAAACTTTCAGAAAAAAGCTGAATAGAGCTAAAAACAAAAAGAAGCTAAAATTAGCATAAACAAGTTAATTACCGGTAGGCTGACAGTAGCAGACGTCACTACAAAAATTTATCTGAAAACAACTGAAATTAGCTATTAAAAAAAAAAAAGCTATAAGTGTAGATGAAAAGATAGAACAAGCTTAAATTTGCAGAAGAAAGCAGAAAGAACATGTTTGCCCAATTAGGCTGAAGGAAGCAGAAAAAGAACCACAAAAAGTGGAAATTATCTGAAAAAAGCTGAAATTAGCAACAACAAAAAAGGCTGAAAAGCAGCTAAAAAAAAAACCCAGAAAGAAGCTGAAATTTTTAGAAGTAGAGAGATCACATTTTTGCCAAATTAGGCTGAAAAAAGTTTAAATTAGTGCAAAAAAATGTGGAATTGGTTAAAAAAGCTAAAATTAGTATAAAACAGCTAAATAGTAGCTAAAATGGCAGACCCCCCCCCAGAAATTAGCAGAAAAAAGCTGAAAGGAGCATAACAAGCTAAAATTAGCAGAAAGAAGTTAGAGGAAGAACAAAAAATGTTGTAGTTAGAAAGAATCTAAAAGGAGCACAAAACAGCTGAAATTAGCTGAAAACAAGTTTAAATTTGCACAAGGAAGCTGGAAGAAGCTGAACCAGAACTAAATGTGAAAGGAGCAGTAAAAGATTGTAAATAGATCTAAAGATATGAAGGATGTAAAATGAGCTCAACTAATTTTCTATGAGAAAACAAAATGTCAGAAATGGTTAAATATTTTAAACAGCTAAAGCTAAACCAATACCAAAAGTCCTAACAGGATTGTCCTGAAAGAGCTGAACATTTTGATTTATAATTGTTGAAATAGCGCAAAAACTGTGGAACGAGAAAGATGCCAACAAATGTACAGAAGAAAACTCTTTAAACTCTTCTGTTGCAGCAAGAAGTTCAACCTGTTTTTATAAGATGAGTGACCATTTAAACCATCTGATGGTTTCCCATCTGTTCAGTTGAGTTAAAGTTGCTTTAGGCTTGAAAAGTAAATAGTTTGTGCAGTTTGCCTAACGAGATCTGTGCCCATGGGCTTGTAAGGCCGAGACTTACGCTGTTGAAGGCCAGCTTTATATTTCCAGCATCCAGAGTGGTGGCTCTCTTGTCCGAGCTGATAACCGATCCAAAGTCATCGAAGCTGGTGTTGACTTCAACGGAGAACCCTTTATCCTGAAGGAGAAAACACTCAGACTCAACAGCAACAACGTACAACCCTCAAACAACACTGAGTAAAACAGTCGCGGTCCAGACTGTTCTAACAAGAAGCCAAATAGAAATGATTTCTAAATGATCATAATCTAACCTTGAGGATGTCCTTGATTATTCTTTTTTCATCGTGGTAACGAGCTTTCAAGTCTTCCACGTAGAACTTGAAGAGGTCCAAAGGAGTGGAACCTGCAGGATAGAGCAGCTTCATTATAATGTACAGTCTTGATGCATGCATTTGTGCTTCTGTGCTCATGTTCGTGCACGTGTTTCAGATGTGCTCATGCGTGTGGTCACGTGTGACGCAGTCTGATGTCATACCGGGCTGGCCCAGCATGTTGGCGAAGCGCATGTCTGAGCTCAGGGACGGGTACATCTCCATCCAGGAGGACATGGAGTGGAGCTGGCCGTGGTCGTGGAGCTCGTCCAGAAATTTCTAAACGTGAACATTAAACAACAACTTCTACTATTTTAAAAGTAAAATATACCTGAGTGAGTATTAAAAAAAGAAAACATTTGAAGTAAACGCAGCACATTAAAGCAGCGCATTTAAAACTTTTTGATTCACGTGCCTGGAAGGACTCTCTGTTTTTGCGCTGTCTCCTTCTTTCCCTGAGAAGAGTCTTCTGTTTCTCCTCTTCCTCCTCTTTCTCCATCGTTCGGATGTGCTCCTCAAAACAAATGAGGGCGTCTTCTTTATCCATATCTGTCAACACATTACACAGTTTTTGCCCCCACCTCATATAAACCCCCCCCCGAAGACAAACAGGTCAACAACAGGCGTCTTACTCTGCAGCTCCTCGTCCTCAGCAAACGTAGGGTTGTCCAGCAGATACTGCTGAGCTTCAGACCAGGTGGTCCGGTACGTCACATTGGCCATGTTGTCCAGAATGTTCTTCAAAGCTTCCCAGTTCCTCTTTCTCAGCTGCTTCGCTTGCTCCTGCGTGAAAAATTAAACAGGACAGTTAGAATAAAGTTGTATTGTGTCAAACGTTCAGAATCGTTGCGATGTGCCGTGAAACGACGTCTCACCTTCTCTTTTTTGGCGAGGTAGAACAACACATCCTCGTAGATCTCCAGCCGGTCTCTCTCAGGAACGCAACTCCACACTTCAAGCTCGTTAAACATTTGCTCTGCTTTCCTGGATGGAGACGACACTTTAAAGGTTTGCAGTATTTTGACAAAAACCCACATGAGGGCAGTGTTTTACAAACCAAATGTAGCTTCATCCCATTCTAAATTGCTCCTCTACACCAAACAAAGACTAGAAGAGAATCTAAATAAAGTTTATAAAATACTAATTTTAGCTCAAATGTTTTTTTTTAAACGTTCCTTGAAAACATTTATTTTGCGAGACTGATGTTAAGAGCTTGATATTACAGAGAAATAAATTAAATAAAAACACAGCCCTGCAATCACTCCCCAGCCGCCTGTTGTGTCATCCCAGATTACAAGCTGGTGCCAGAACTCTGAAACCAGATCGTGTCAAGGTCACGAGTCCCATCAAGCCAGCTCGCCCGTATGTTCAACCAAAAATACTCAAGAACCAGAAGTTACACGCAGCAGCACCAAGAACGACGATTACAGCGTTTAAAATGCCACATTTGAGTGCATGTTTAAAAGCACATCACCCGTGTTAAAAAAACTAGAATATATAGATTTATATTTAATAATCGAGATGTTTTAGTTGTACTTTGTAGTGTCTACAAAATGTTAATACTTCCATAATTTCTTAGAAATCATGAAAAGAAAAAGACATGGTTTAATTAGATTCGGGTGTAAGAGGAGAACATCACAAACTTGAAATCGAAACGTTTCACTCGTCTCACTCACAACCATCATGTGTGTTTTGGTGAAAACTAATTCAGCTGCAACGGTTGGACAGAAGCCGTCAGATCAGAGCGGGTTGAGTGGAACCGAACGGCGCAGCGGCTGCTCGATGGCGTGCATAAACCACACGTGACCTTTATTGATCCGGTCCACATCATCAAACTGACAGTCCAGAGTGCCACAAATCAATTTGTGGACAAACACACATGCAAAACAAATCCCAGCTGCTCTTACTTGTATCTGGTGGTGGATGTCATCTTGTCATGGTTCTCCAAGAACCTCTGGAACGTCTCTTTGGACTCCTTGTATTTAATTCTGGCCTCTTCCTTTTCCTCCTTCTCTGTTTGGACTTTGTAGGCATTGAACGCCTGCTTCTTCTCGCTCAGCTTAGGAAGAGCACTGTTGATGGAAAAATTCAAGTTAAGACCACAGATTAGGCTTGTTTGATTTATAAATCACAGTAAACTAAATAATCTCCTGATTAGACTGACCTGTAGCGAGGATCATTGATGATCAGTTTCATAGCCTGTTCCCAAGAAGAGTTTGATGCCACACCCTAAAACAAAGAGCACAAAATAATGGTATAAACACACAACTTGTATATTTTTTCTTTGTATTTTTGAGAGGAAAAATGACGAAATTAAAAAATACTTTTCTGTTTTGGGTGTTTTCAGTCAACACATTTTCTTAATTACTCATAAACGGCATGTCAGTAAGAGTGTGATGTGCTAATAATTTTAAAAACTACCACTAAAGGCTTATATAAGCACCCTTTCTGCCTCTTGCCTCACTGAGAAAGTGACTCTTCATCCATTATGAACTGATTCCACGGCGCTTCTCTGTCTTGTCACTTGACAGTTATTCTAACTCGGTGAGGCGTGCCACTTTCGCCCAGTGTCTTAATCCCAGCCAACCCCCACCCTGCCTGTGATCCAATAAAGCTAATCATAAAGACAGAGCCATTAAGATCTTGAAGGAAATGGCATGCAATCTCAAAGGAGAGCTTTGTGCACAAAATTTAAAAGCGCCTAAATATAGTAACATTTTAGGTGGGTGGCGGCCTTGCAGCTGCAAACACAGCACGCCCACAGCAACAGGAGGTGAACTTAACACACCTCCCAGGGGGTGAAGAGAGAAAGAGGGGATTAGATCAAGACCCAGATGCAAAGGGTGTGATGATAAACACACAAGCATCAGCAGACATGGAGGTAGCTCAAATATTCCAATAACAGGCTCATGTCGCGTCTAAGCGTCTGAAGACAAAAATAAATACAGAAGCTCCTGTTTGATTAATAGAAGTACGAAGCTGAAATATTTTCACCTGTTAACTCAGCAACAACTAGACCTGATCAACTAAAACATACAGATGTTTCCAATGAAAACAACATAGGATGGCACAACAGAATATCACAATTATTTGGTTATTCCTCTTAGTGAAAATCGTTTTTGTACTTCACATAAACCTTACACTGCTTTCACATTTTCACAGTACAACATTCATACTCGTGTATAAAACTCTGCATCGAAACGAGCCTCTGAAAAGAACATCTGCCCACCTCCTGATCAGCGACGCCCCCAACTCACCTTTTCCTTCAGCAGCTCCTTGAAGGCCTGCTTGGCCTCCTCTTTTGTGTTCCACTTGTACGTTTTCTTCACAGGTTCAGGCCGTTCTTTGACTTCAACACTGAGAACAAATTAAACATTACAGGTTAAGCTGAGGACTTACTGCAGCCACACATAAATAAAGATAAACAGCCTAAACAACGGAGCTGTCCTGTCAGATGTCCCAAACAGCAGACTCATTTAAACACGATATAACCAGTGTGAAATAATATGACTTCTGCAGTATACTGAGCCAAAAATAAATTAAGACCAAACCATATCATTCTGCTGTCAACTTTACCCGTTTACCTTCACGGCAGCTGGGTCGTACAAGGTAACTATCCATGATTTATGACAACGGTAATATGACTCTGTTGTTGAAGGAAATAAAAACTGATTATAGCTACTGTTGTCAGCGTTTCCTTTCAACTATTTTAGCGAGCAAAAGTAGAATTTCATGTTCCACTCTTACTAGATTATATAAAAAATCTGATTTCCATTTCATAATGTGTTGTGTTCAGCTGTGATGTGAGAGGACATGACTGTGGATATAAAACTGAAAAGTAAGTAACATGCTCATTTAAAGAACTGTTTCTATTCTCCACAAGTTAAATGGACCACACCATCTGCATCCATAATCTGTTCCCTCTTGCTTGTATTCCTAATTATACATCGATTTACTGGTAAGAACTGCAGAGGAACATATTTGTCCTCAACTCTGATAAAAACGGGATAGAAATGAGTTTGTAATGCTCAAACCATATAACCAACCAACATGTTTGAAAACTTAAACAGGAACAGATTTACGAGAGAATATTTTCTGTCTAACAAACTCCATATTGTCAGCAGTGAAACGTTAGCAATAAAAAAAATTGCATCAAGAATTGTCAAATTACAAGGAATCACGTTGGGTTCAGAACACAACTGTAAAGAACAGAATCATCTGGTGCATGCTGCTCTGGAGAACCCAAAGGCTGCAGCTAATGGACAATGGTGGTGTTTTGTGGGGACAATATGGCAACAAATGTCAGAGAAGTGTTTTTCCACACAGAAATGCAAACCCATGGTTTTGGTGCCATAATCAATTCTGAACTTTGTTTCCTCAACTTATCAAAGTTTTTTGTTAAAAGATGACTCAGCACATGGATGATGCACATACCGGTACGTTAAACGAGCATCATCACGTCTCCTTCTGTTCTGGGCAATGTCAAGTTGTACTTTAGTGTAAATAATAAACCTTCTAACAGATTCTTCTAACAAAATAAAAATTAAATATCTTTCCCTTCAGTATCTCTAAAACGCTGCACTTTGTGGAAAACATTCAGTGGATAAATAGCACTACAGGCCAGAGGAAAGAAATTTACATTTCATTCGAAGGTGATCTTTCCTTGTAAAATAAGGGTCATAATTGTTTACCTGGCTGTGTTCTCAGTGACGACTGCACTCTCGGAGGACGTCACAGGTGCTTCTGCAGCCTTGACCTCAGCTGTTTGATTCACGGTCACCTGGGACTGTGGTTCCTCTGAGATTACCGCTGCTGCAGTTTCCACCTCCATTACCGTCTCCATAGTGGCCGTATTATCGGCTTGAACCACAGGAGCTGTAGTTGTTCCAGGGGCCACCACCTCTGTAGTTCTGAAATCAAACCCAGATGATAAATTCATGCCCCTCGGTCCCAGGAAGCCCAAACAGAAAAAGGTTTAAATAAATTTAAATACATTTCAATAAATAGTGGAGTTGTGAAGCGTAATGAAAGGTAAACACAAAAAATTCTTACCCATTCTCTTCTGCTTTGATCATAGCTGGAATAATAAGAAGAGATCACAATCAGGGTCCTGCTTTCATCTTAGAGCTAATTACAAAGAAGTGACCAACATACAGATCAGTGCACGCAGGTCACCCAGGCTTTCTACTATTTGTTTCTAGTGTTTGTGAATCTGATTCCAAAACCAAGTCATGCATCATGTCATTCATGATGTGGTTAAAGACTCATAGATGACTCATTTTGAAAAGATTGTTTCTCATGCATGGTCATGACAACATGAAGGAGCCGTTTACCTTCCAGATCTTCCAGATCTTTGGGTTTGGTCCACCTGGACTCCTTTGTCTGAGAGTTGTAATAATAAGGCTTCCCTGTGTCTGACTTGTACTCCTTCCATGGACATTTAGACAGCAATTGCTATAAGAATAATTAGTGCAAAATCAAGACTTGTGCATCCATGATAAAAAAATACAATGTGTATACAATAAAACTAATTGCATATACCATTCTGATTGTTTTAGCTAAAACACTGCACAACAGACAGTTTAATATTTTTAAAACAGGAGAAAAATGTATGGCTTTTTGACAGTTTATATAATGTGCATGTATGGTCATCATTTATGTTCCAACACAACGGTGAAATTGGCTGTCTGCATTTAACCCATCCACCACAAGGCGGAACAGTGGGCGACCTTTGGAGGCGCCCGGGGAGATTGAGATTTTTGTTAATGAAAAGTCTGTTACAAATTAAATTCATTATTATTATTAACTGGGGATGGGGTGTCCTGCTCAGAGACACCACGAGATGTGCAATGACCGGGGATCGAACCCAGGACCTTTGAGTCCCAAGTCGGCTGCCCTGTCCCTAGACCATCCCAGCCCCCATATGTGGTGTCTATATATGCAATATCCCCCTATATAATTTGAACTATTCTTAAATATCAAATAAAACTAAGAAAAGGAAGTTGTGTAAAACCACAAATTACAATTTGTCAATAAATAAGTGCAGATTAGCTTATAAACTAGTGTTGGACTAAGGTAAAAAAAAAAATAATAATAATAGCAATCAATCTAAAAATATTTTCCTGTTAGTAAGTGGTCAAGACAATGCAAGCTTCAATGAGATTGGATGTAATCCTTGTTGAGGCAGACCCATTCTCGCTCTCAAGCTGGAAAGCCAGCCCCTGACCGGAGTGCTGTATGTGTATGTTCATAGGCGCAGAGGAGAGAAATTAAGGAGAAAAACAAAACCTAACAGTATTAATGCACGTTAAAATAATTGTCTGTGTTAACGCAATAATAACGAGTTAACGTGAACATCACTACCAGATGTGCAAGATGTCATATAGGGGAGAAATGTTTGTACCTCTGCAGGAGATTTGAGGTCATCCGGCTTCTCCCATGTGGACTGCTTCGTCTCTGTATTGTAATAATAGGTCTTCCCGTCTAGTGATTTGTGTTCTGTCCACAGAGACTTCTAAAGGCAAACATAAAACAACACAAACACTGTAAATAGGCAGTTTATCTGCAGGAACGAAAAAAAAAAAAACTTAAAATGGTTCTATCATTGTTACAAATGTGTGCACACTTTTTTTTGCTGCTCTTCTTGTGGCGATCCATTTCTAGTACTCTGCAAAAACAAGACAAATACATTAACAAAATGCTAACACTGAAGCTAAAGTACTGAGGCTAACAGACAACAACACTCCCAAAACTGTTGTGAAGAAAGCCACGACAGACTTACATTTGTTCCAGGTGCAGCAACTGCAAAGTTAAAACCAACAAACAATCAAATGTTGAACCTTAAATGAATAGAAAAATTAAAAGAAAGCGGTTTGTAAAGATCTTACCTGTGGAATCAACACCAGGCTGTAGAGAAAAATATTTTTTGAGTTATTTAAACAAAAAAAGAAACACTATAAACTTATTTACAAAAGGCATAAACAAAGTTTTAATCTATACATAACCACAAACACAAGATGTAGACAAAAGTAACCTTTGCATTGCTTACATGTGCCTTATGTTCTCTAAACCCACCTGGGAAAATAAATGTTTAATTCCTTGCACCTCATTCACCTCCTTGATTTTATGTATCACCTCCTTGATTTTATGTACTTAATCTCTTTACAGTGATTCAAAGACTAACTGTTACCAAAACAAAATAAACTACTCAATGAACGCTCAAGGCAATCCCTGTATTTGTTCTGAAACAGTCTAATTTATACATCTGCCTATAAAGGAGTCATCTGGTTGTGTTGTTTTTAGTATTTAACAGATTTCGGTTTATTTTTAAGATGTGTGAAGAGGAAAACAGAAACATACTGGTCCCGTTGGTTGTACAGCTACAGCTGGGATGCGAGGAGGTATCATCAGTCCTGGCATCATGGGTGGCATCATGCCTGGGATCTAATAAAAGAAGCATCCTGAAATATTAATCTGACTTTTTTTTTTTTACCATGGCACAAGTATTAAGACACAGCGTGAGCATGGAGGTGTCAGTTTTAGAGGGCTGCCTGTAGCTTGAGGGAAAGGTGAGACCAACGATGAACATGCCGTTCTTATTTGTGTGAATTCACAACTTTTGATCTGTGTAACAACACATCAAACTACATCCCTCCTCAACTTCTCAAACCAAAACAAAAGCATCCCTTTCCAGCACATCTAAATCATGCCAGTAATTTGGTAATTTAAAATTAAAAAAAGTGGAATGTGACTGCTTCAGAAGAAATTTAGTTTTAGACAACATTTGTCCAGTCTCAAATTAATCGTGTTCTGTTTTAAACACTTTCTTATTATAAGACTATGTTTTAATTCAGGAAAACAGCTAATGGAATAACTCGTTATTTTTGGAAACAAGAGAATAAATATTACAGATGGAACAAATATAAGTCGGAAGTTTTTCCCTTGGTCACATTAGATCCTGTCACTTTTAGCTACAAAAGACCCTGTTTTAAGACTGAAAAAAAAAGAACCAAAACAACACAAATACAACTTAAGATGGAACAATTTTCGCTTATCATCAAAACTTTGGCCATTTTTTATGTAAATTAGAAGCATAAATAATGTTAATTTAGACATTTGAACCCATAAGACCCCCCAAAAAATAAACCCCAAACCTGTCCCATTGGTGGTGCAGCCATTGGTGGCATGATGCCAGGGGGCATTATACCCGGTGGCAATGGAGTCATGCTGGGTGGTCGCTGACTCATGGGGGGTATTACCATGGGAGGGTAGTGGGGAGGTATTCCCGGTGGTGCCATCTAACCAAAATAAAAGAGCATGTGAGAAAAAATGTATTAGTGTAAAATAATAATCTGAACCACATAACTGGAAATGAATAATATAAAATCGATTCTCAGACATCTCTCATGATGACTTACATATGGGGGAGGTATTGTTGCAGAGGGCACAGCTGTATAAGACACAGCTTGGCTCTGGCCAGCACTAGTCTCTGACGAAGACTGCAGACAGTAAATAACAACACAGTTAGTTATACAAAACACAAGTGGAATAGACAGTTATTTATGTTCTTAATGGTTGCACAATACTTTAACAATTCATCAATAACACAGTACTAGAGATCTGAAGCTCTCGACTGAAGCTGAAGCTCTGAAGATCTGAATCAAAAAGCCAATTAGTAAAAGTTATTTATCTAAGGAAGCCAACAAATTGTGTTGAATCTTCACTTCATCAATCTCCCATACCATCATATTGCAAACGATAATGGAAATATACCGTATATATTGCAGACACAAACCACTAATAAAAAATATGACAAAAAAATATGGCAATGACTGTCATAAAGTGCTGGAAGTGCTATATATTTGCATCATTAACAAAAAAAAGGTTAAATCATGTCATCTGGACCAGTTTCTTTAAGTGAGAAATGTTTCGTCCCCCATCCAGAGGACTTCCTCAGTCTACGGCCTGCCAACCAGATCAGTCCCATAGGTAGCCATCACTGCTGTGTTTCAAGCCAACCTCCTGTTGGAATCTCAAAAGTAAGCTTTTAACATGTGCAAAACACACCCATCCAAAACAATCAATTATCATGTACAACAATCAAATGCTTTAAAGAAACTGGTCCAGATGACACGATTTAACCTTTTTTGTTGTTATCTACCTGGATGATTGAGCTTACAACCCTTTTTTTTTTTTATATTCATCATTGTTTCTTCTTATACAATGATGACATTTGTTCTCTGCATAGGTGAGAACTTTCACAGCAAAGTTAATAAAGTCAACAGTAAAACAACAAAGTCCATGCTCAATAATCCAGGTATACAATCCAACATTTTTCAGTCAGGTCATCTGGACAATTTCTTTTTTTTTTTTGTGCTGAAACGTTTCGCCATCGGTCCAGAATGATGAAGCCTTCTGGACCGAAGGCAAAACGTTTCAGCACACACACAAAAAAGAAACTGTCCAGATGACCTGACTGAAAAATGTTGGATCAACAGTAAAACTATAGCACAAATGTAAACTTCATGGCCAAGCTGTAGAGTGCTTTAGATTTTGTAACTTTACCTATTAATGAGACCAAACAGATATACTATTTAAGTACATGATAGCAAAATTAAGTAACAAATATGTGGCAAGTCATAGACTTGTTAATTTGCAAAATTATCTACGTTTTAGCTAAAAACATTACAAACAGAGCTTGTAAACAGAAAAAACAAGTTTAGCTTCAAGCACACTTGACATCAAAATCCTAATGTTGTGTATATGCAATTGGTTTTCCCCATTTCATTGCCATAAACGTGACTTTTTCTAAAGATGTTATGATCTATAAATTATTAATGCTTCACACTACAGAATAACAACAATAACAATATTAATACCGCGAGAGCAGACACATTATTTGAAAATATATTGAATTAAAAAAAAAGCCGATAACTGCGGCTGTCCTGCTCACTCTGGTCATATCTGAAATAGTTAAAGGCAATCAATATTAACCTTTCATAATAAACAATTTGCTTCCTAACAATGACAGCTGCTAATATTCCTAATGAATGACTACAGACTCCGTCTACACTCTGGAACAGAAAAATTAAACGAATACGTAGAGAGAGGTATTTAAGCTTATCCAACCACAGGTTCTGAACAATGCTAAACGTAAATAACAGCACAATGCAATAAGTAGCAATACAACGATATTTTCCTATTACTCACGCTCTTAACAATAGTTTCAGCCTTCCAGGTCATAGTCGATGCCATGAAAGTGAGTATGTTGCACCGCTAATGCTAATACGACATGCTAACCCGCGGTCTGAAAAAAACACAACCTTGTACTTCTCCACAAAACCTAAGAAGAGTATTTTTAACTAAATTACAAATAAAACATGACTTAAAGATTTTGACAACTCCAACCGATAACGGTAAACTCATAAAACATTTCTTTTGAGCGGCTATCACTCACCATGTTGGCGAGAACCTCCGAGATTGCTGAGCAGCTTCCAACAATGAGCCCAACGATTGGCTCAAATTGTTCGTGACGCAATGGGGTCAAAGGTAAAGATTCATGAATTGCCCATCTGCGTAGCAAATGCGCATAAATGCGCAATAAACACGACTTGACTTGTTTCCAGCATTGATTGAAACAAAAACAGAAAATTCAATACACCAAATATGCTTCGAATTTAAAATTCAGAAAATAAACACATAAATAAATACACATAAACTATTTTAGTTCAACAATTTATCAAAAATCTATTCTACTACAGCAGTTTTGTGTAATTACAGTTTTTCTCAGTCACTTTGATGCATTTCTCACATCACAATATTAATGTGTGCACAACAGTTAGTGCATTTCTCAAGACAATTAGTACAAACTGCAGAACAGTTGATAACCTGCAACAGTGTGTCACTTGAGCAAAATGGATAGCTCATTCTTCAAAAGCAAGTATTCATGTCAATGAAAGTGTCATTGTCATCAAAATGGAAAATCCTGACACCATTATTTATTAACAATATAGTCAAATGGCTTTGTCATGTTTCCATTATAACCGTTTACTCTTTAGGTGTTTTTCAATGCAAAAAAGTCTACTTGAAAATGCTCAAGACAACACTATGAACTATTTGCACAGTCATTTGAAATCTACAGTTAAGTTACACATTATTGTATTTATTGAGATAAACGAGTACAAGACACTGCATCCAGATGTTACACATTTTTACAGCATATGCTCATTGCAAGGTAATTTGTTCACATAAATGTGCAAAAGCAAAGTATAAACTTGTTTACAACAAACATAAGACACCCTTTGGGTAGAGCTGTGTGCAACTGTGAACAATATTGATGTTCGTTTTGGAATTGAACTGGAACATACAACAAACACAGTACTGTAAATCCTTCTTGCACATTCAGACATTCCTGTTTGTCTGGCCACATATTTTCATCTACATCACAGCGAGTATCATCCCTAACAATGTATGGAAAGTATCTCCTCGAGTGGTGAATCCACCCTCTGCAGGATTCTGCTGTGATGTCATCACATGCTACATCCATGCCAGTCAAGTATCTTCCACCTCCAGACAGAGAAAAACTTCTCTATTGGATTAAGGAATGGGGCCTAGGGAGGGAGATGTTCCACCAGCATCCTTTCATATGCTTCCTCTGTCTGACCAGATCTGAGTGATGAAAATGCACATTATCCCATACAACAACATACTTGTTCAGATAGTCTCCATTTGTACCCCTCTCATTCTCAGGAATTATTTCCTTGTAAAGTGTGTCTAAAATGTCTATGTGTGTGTTCTATGGACCAAGACTGGGTACATGGGTGAGGAAGCAGTTTTCTTATGTGTCTGCCCACATTGTAACATTCCCTCCTCGTTGGCCTGGGACATCAGTGGTTATTCTCTATCCAATGTGATTTATTCTACGCCTTTACCATCAGACTGAAACCTGTCTCATCAACATACATGAATGTGTGATTCCTGGTCTCAAACTCCAGTACTTATCCAGAAAAGCTATAACAACTTTTCCTGCGTAACATAATGCATTCTGGACAACAGATTGTACAATATGAACTAAATAGAATGAATGTAAGTGTACTGCATTGCACTACCCAAATAACCAGTTTACAGCACAGAACATTAGAGTACGCATAGAACCCAAACATATGACTTGCACATACTGGTGACAGATCTCCTTCAGTCTGTTGTTGTTTCATTCAGATAGCACATTGTACAATTACTTCATGCACATTTCATTTCTACTGAGCGCCCTGTCAATTGCAGCAATCGAAACAGATTCAGTATTCCCAAAGGTGCTGTCATCCTCTATAACAGCTCTTTGTATATCTCTCAGCCTTATGGCATTATTTGCAATCACCATTGCACCAATGGCTTCCCCTTGTTGGAGTGAAATGGGGACCCCTTCCATCTCTGCGAGGTTATCTTACAATCCTGCAGTAAACATGAGATGCAGTACCGGTATACTGCTTTAACACACATTACTGTAGTGTACAATAACAGTGCTTCCCACTTGTAAAATGTTGCAGTACAGTACCATACTGTAGACACAGCAAATCTTTACTGTTACACAACTTTATACTATAATACCATCGATCTGTGCTGCAGTAAAGCTGTAAGTCTAAATGTAAAATGTGACAAGTTCTTGTCCCACTATTCAGCTTCATGTATGAGACAGTGACAGTAGGGCACAGCAGATTGTTTAGTGCTGAATTACTGTCCAATATTCACAATATACACCAGCATACACAGTAGTTCCCTCGACAAAATGCTTGAATAATTGAATTTACAGTGGTTCTTCCAATATTTGGCTGCACCCTTCGACTAAAGATGACTAGCCTCAGCCATAGTGAGGCCTCACCTCTCCTCCATGATGCTGACCTTCCATTTCTTTGTCACAGTATTGTTGAAATTGTACACACTCTGTCCTGCTCAGTTCATATACAGTATGCTTGCTGACTGAGAGTTCATGGGATTCAGCTCTGAGAGACCGTGGAGAATTGGCTTATCACTGGTTACAACAAATACTTCACACACTCCCCCTCATCAGTGAAACTGAGGTTCACCTGCAGGAAACAGTTCAATTTGGGAGACATTTTCAGAAAAAAAAAAAGACAAAGAAATGTATAAATTTTGGTTGACAGATTTTGACAATTAGTTCGACATTTTTGCATGTAACGACTCAAGCAACGAATTGAGGACTATTAGTTTTATAGGGAATGACGATTCAACATTTTATAAGTGTCAAATGTATAAAAGTTGAAAAGTTGAGTTTTCCCATTTTCCTTCTACATTTCTTAAAAGGGGTCATACTTTCTTATAATCTTTCAAAAACATCTTGATCAATAATTCTTTCAGGCTTTCTGAAAACCTCACAGTAGTTCAATGTCGTTTTTCTGTTTCTTCTTTTTTGTTAACTTTTTCTTTTTCAGTCTGGTGCCTGGCCATTTAAAAAAAAAAAAAAGTATTTTATTTTTTACGTTTGTTTGTTCTGACCAGCCTTATAAATGGTTTTAAGCTCAATGTGGATGAAGCACAGTTGGGATGACATATAGAAAAACTTTAGTAAAGAACACCACCTCTCTTTCTCTATTCAAGACTATTCAAGTCTATTCAAGACTGCTCTGAAAACACATCTCTTTAGATGCGGCTCTTTAGACTCGCTTATCCTTAACTTTGCTGTATGTATTTTATATTCTTTATGTGTTTTACATTCTGTATGTATTTTATATTCTTTATGTATTTTATACTTCAATTTATTCCTATTGATCTTTGCACTGTGCTTGTTGTTTGTTTTAACACAATCTTTCTGAGATGTTTCTTACTGTAAAGTGTCCTTGAGTGTCCTGGTCTGGGAAGCTCAGTCCTCACCTCCTTCTACGGGTGTGCAGTGGAGAGCATCCTGTGCTCGAGCATCAATGTGTGGCATGGAGGCTGCACAGCTGCAGAAAGAAAAGCTTTGCAGAGAGTGGTGAAGGCTGCACAGAAATCTGTTGGAATCAGTCTCCCCACCATCAGACATCTACACCTCCAGATGCAGGAGGAGGGCCACCTGCATCATGAAGGACCCCACTCACCCAGCACACACACTTTTTGCCCCACTCCCCTCAGGAAGGAGGTTAAGGAGCATTAAGTGTAGAACCACTAGACTGAGGAACAGCTTCTACCCTGAGGCTGTTAGACTTATGAATCTCTAACCAGAATAATCACTGTGAAAAACCATATCATGTTGCTGCTGATCTGTTTCATGTTGCTGCTGCTCTGTTTTAATGTTGATGTGTTCATGCGTGCACATCTGCTCACAGACTCATGTTCATGTTTGTGCTGATGTTCAATGTTTTATGTTATGAGCGCTTAGTGTATATTTAGTTGATGTTTTTCTTAGTTCATATCTTAGATGTTATTACTGTTTTTCTTATACATTTTATTGTTGGATGTAACTGGGACCCTGTGTACATAATTTCGCTCCACCACATGTACCACATGAGGTGCGAATGACAATAAAGAAACTCTGACTCTGACTCTGACTCTGAAAGGCGCTTTTTAAATAAAATGATTATTATTATTATTATTATTATTACTTTGTATTTTCAATTGAATTTTACACAATTTCTTAATGCAGAATGTCACAAAGACTCACAAATTGGTCCCATTTCTTCAGTCAAATCTATGAAAAACACTAAAGCTGACATCCTGATGCATGCTCAATAATCCAGGTAGAAAAATCCAAAAAAGTTCAATCTGGTCATCTGGACATTCAAAAAACCCCAAAAAACAAAACAAAGCAAAAAAATATAGATACGTTTCGTCTCTCATCCGAGAGACTTCCTCAATCTGAGGTGCTGTTTTCAGCTCAGTCTCTTAAATAGCACCTTCTCAGAGTGGATCAACCAGTTTGCTGCTGACAACCAAAACCAGCTGCTCACATGCTCAAGAAGGACCATCAGCCTAACAATGGGTCATTAGCACACTGATGGCTGTTTACTGTTCACAGAGGGCTGAGTGATGCTAGCAATCACAGCATTGTAAGAGGGGGACAGTTGAACCCGGAGGCCTCCACCCCTGTTTAATGATGGACGGTTTCTTTTCACAAAGATGGCCTCCTTTACTCCTCTCTCAAACCATCGTTCCTCTCTGTCCAGGATGTGAACATCTTCATCCCTGAAAGAGTGACCGCTGGCCTGGAGATGAGTGTAGACCACAGAGTCCTGGCCTGATGATGTTGATCTTCTGTGCTGGGCCATCCTTTTGGCCAGTGGCTGTTTAGTTTCCCCGATGTAAGACTGATCACAGCCCTCCTGACACTGAACAGCATACACAATATTATTCTGTTTGTGCTGGGGGTCTGGATCTTTGGGATGAACCAGTCTTTGCCGTAATGTATTTTGGGGTTTAAAAGCCACTGGGATGTTATGTTTAGAAAATAAACATCTCAGTTTCTCTGATACTCCCTCAACATATGGAATGACCACTGGTCTGGGTCTGGGTTCCTCCTTTT